ATGCCACACATTTTTGGGAATATCTGCAACAGACTTGTGAAGAACTTTCTGAAGAATATTTGATTTCAGTTGTAAACAGAACGAGCCACGAGTGTGTTCAGCTGTTATATCTGCCACAGGTGGACACTTTCATGAATCAAAAGTTTAGAATACGTTTTGGTTGACAGTAAACAGTGAAAAACTGGAAAAAGTGTGGTGTTCTAAAACTTTTGACCGGTAGTGTATATGACTGACTGTTATTATCTGACTCAAAGACTGTATAAAGAAGTGGACTAAGCGAGAGCGACATCATCCACAGCGTTCGGCTCTGGTCAAATGAAGCTCATCGAGGCTATCAAATATAGGAACAAATCTGGAGCCAAGTCCATTTATGTATACAGTCTATGATCTGACTATATAATATAAGGTTTAGCAGGTCAAATGTACTTTTATGAATGTATAATATTAAAAAAAAAAACATTGCTGGGGTGAAGTGGTGAACCTTTGTAACATGTAACTTTCTCAAGAACTATACTGCAGCAATAAAACTGAGTAAGAAAACTGAAGAAGATAGGTCGTAATTTCCAATTATTATATACAAGAAGAACTCATTAAAGTAGAAGTAGTACAAGAAGTAAGTAAATCTGTTCGCACACTGTATACAGGTCAAAAAGTCACATTTATACTTTGGTAGTTGTAGTACAGCCAAACAAGAGTATTTACTGAAGTACCTTATTATGGAGAGTAGTAATGTAGTACGTATTATGGTACTAGTAACAGAGTACTTTTACCCATTACATCTCAGCCCTGTGTATGTGTGTGAGTAGATAGAGGGGGGGTGCAATAACATACCAGACAGCTGAGATGCAACAGCAGTGTGTGTGTTTGTCTGTGTGTGTGCGTGTATGTGTGTGCGAGAGGGGGGGAGGTGTGTCCAGACCTCCAGCGGGGCTCACTATTTCCTGGGAAGGCCTGTCCAGGGACCATGGACGCTGCCCAACGCCGCGCTCTGATTGGCTGCAGAGTGTCCTTTTAGGGAAGTGCAGAGTGACAGGTGCTGGTAGCTGTGGGCTCGTCCGTGCAGGCTCCTTATTAGTCACCTCTGTCGCACTCGCACTCTGCAGAATCCTGTGACGTCCTGCAGCGGTCGTAAAAATGCAAATGTACCACCAACACACAACTCCAGATGGTGCGCAAAGAGCTGTGGGAATAAAAACAATGTGAATCCACTTGACTAAAACATAACAACTTTACAATATTGTTAGACTAGACCTAAATAAATAAAAAGACAATAGAATATGACAAGAAGCTGTACAGTCAACAACAATTAAGTGGAATAAGCATGATTAATCAGCTATTAATATAATCATAATCATATTTTGATAATCATAGTCATTATCTGGGTTGTCAAAAGTATTGAAAAACAGATACAAAACATACTCACATGTCTGCAAATTAGCAGCAAGTTAGGTGTTTAAAACTGTACCCTGAAATATAATGGTCCCCTATATTTCATTTTAGTTTGTTTATTTGAACAGTTTGTAGAAAAAGTCAAACATTAATTCCTTAAAACAGGGTAAAATACTCAGATTACCACCATTTTCACTAATTTCAGAAATTATAAAGGAGTTAACTACTGAAATAAGCATTACACAATTAATGTAAGTAAAGTTTATCACTAACTTTTATTAAGATATTAAGTGTTAATAAGTAAAAACTCATTTTCTTTTGGTACTAGCCCTTAATAACATCCTTATTTCCAATAGCATCTGTCTTCATGTCCTATAAGCAGTAATAAGAAGTTAGTTTATTAATAGGAAAGCGTAAAAACAGCAGAATACACATGATAAGACATTAATAAAGGTAAAATAAATACTAATTCACATCAAAATAACCACTTGGATGCAAATTATTGCCTTACCAAAACTTATTTTAGCTTAATAAGTATTATAATTTGTGTATAACTTTGTACTGTAATAAAATATGTATAAAATACATTAAATATATTTTGTGTTACAGCCCTGATGCTCATTTGTACCTATCAGACAAAACCTTGCAGAGAATAGCAGAAGAGATTATTATCTTAACTTGAACATGAACCAGAACCTTACTCTGTCTACTATGTTAACTTGTCTGCAACTGGACAATGATATACACTGCTACAATTATTTATTTGGTATAAGTATGCCTGGTATTATAAATTATAGACCCTGGGTGGTTGGAGGAACGAAAAAGCTGTTCAGGGAGATTGATGAAAACCATGCTCCACTTTTTTACAGTTTGGAGATAGCAACACCACTCTACTCATATACTTTTTTGGTGCAACTCCTGGCTGGGTTTTGTCAGTGGCTGTTTTGGAGGAGCACTATTTGGCAGTGGTTTATCAGTTCCAGCACCTCTTTATCAGGAAGTAGAAGCAGATCTCTCCTGGATGGGCTGCAGATTTTGAGGTCCTTTTTTTTCCATATAAGGAGATGAGGAGATGAGGGGAGCATGCACTGGGCCCGGCACAGCTGCGCCCCTGAACGCACAGACACCACAGCAGCTGCAGGGGCAATTGTCTCCACTTAAGCGCTGTTGTCGATCATTTACATACACGGGGCCACGCTGACCATCCAGGAACTCTGAGGGGGCTGGGGATGCCCTTTTACAGCTTCGACCCGTGTCCGAGCACTATAGTAGTTTTCAGAAGACCTCAAAATGATTATACAGGTCTATATTTGTGATGATAATTTAGATAATGGACATTGTTATCATGTATATAAAAAATTTGGCTCATGGCAGACACTTTGCAGTGACATCATACAGGGGGTGTTCTACATGTATCTCTAATGGTGGAAAGTTTAAGAGTTACCATGATGACACAATGCACACATTACACACATGCACACTGTTTAAGTTTTAAGAGTTTTAAGTTTTGTCTCATAACTCAAAACACAAAATGGACTAAAACAGCACATTTTCAGGTGCCAGTGTTCGATACAGGCGTTCATGGTTCAACGTTCATGTTAGGAGTTTGATTTTTTATGAGTGAGGGACTTGCCAAAAGCACAAATCAGCTAACCTGTTTTAGTTCCAGCTAAGTTTTTTAGATTTAGTTAAAATGAAGAACAAATTAAAGTCTAATAAAGCCTCAGACAGAGCAGTGCCTACAGTTAGAATCACACCCCCAAGGAATATTGACGACATCACCTCCAAAGTATCATTTGGTGTTATTCAGATTCTATAATGTAAAATCATACTCTCAGATAGGGGACAAGGCTTTAGTTTTCCATACTGACTACACTGTACTTTGCCATGAAATACTTAAAAAGTAAATTCACAAATTTTAAACATGATACTTTCTTTTATTAACTACTAGACCTAAGAACTCACAGTATTATAGCAACAATCTGCCCTCATCTGTATTAAAAGAATATTGACCAATAGAAATTTGTTTCTGAAATCCAACAGGCCTACGCCATCTGACTGGGGGAAAGAATATATATTTTATGGTCCTTTCATGTTTTATAGACATATTTTTTTAACATTTCTGATACATTATAATAATACTGTCTGAATATCTTTATTGTCCACCCCTATCTCTGACCTATATTTGGAAACAGATTATGGATTTTCTTACCAAAAAGGATTCAGGAATATTGAAACCTGTACCCTTCAGAGAAAGTGGCATGGCAAATCATTATATAGTATAATTGAAAACAACTGCAACAAACTTTAAGAACCTTTGCATTTTTGGATAAGCCTACACCACATCATATCATATTTGTCCGTATAGTTCTAACACTAAGGCTAGCTATTTTTTTAACCGTATAATAGACTGTGCTATTTGAGACCCCATCAGAGCATTGTTCTTTACACCTCGCCCTTATATAATGTGTTACATTCCTGCTGTAAACAGGCTCTGGCACAGGGCTATTGGCATCTCTTTCACAAGTCAACGCCTATATGCTTTTCTCTCATCACAATCCATAAACCTAATTAGGATTCATTTATAAAAGGTGCTGTGATATCTGTAACTTTTCTAGTAGGTGTCTGCCCTCTGCTTGTCTCCATGGAGTTACTATTCCTTTGCATGAAATAAATATGGCATTCAACATATCTGAATCAATTCATGTTTATATGTTGTTATTGTTCCTTGGCAAGCATGCTTTCTCACTTTGAGCAGGGTCGCCTCTCTGCAAATCTGATCTGTTGGTGGTTGGCCTGTTAGTGTCACTTAATTGTTTCCATGGAGCTAGATTAGTTTAAAGTCATACTGTGGAACCCAACTTTCTTGAACAATATTATGTGGACATGACGAGAGATTGCTTTGTAGTTTCAACCAACCAGTGGCTCCAGCTTTCCTAGATAAAGTCAGCTCTAAAAATATGTGAGGTGATTAGTGCCAGCGCCTCATTCTACTGTCCACTTGTGTCCTACTATGGCTGTTGTGGGCATTATCTTCCTCCTGGACAACTATGTAATAATGCTATTATTAACTAATGTGATTACAAATTTTCACAACCTACATTTTCTTGTTCTTAAATGTTAAATATAAGGATGGGACAAATTAGAGTTTTATTACAGTCAAGTTCTGCATTAGTGAGAGCTGTGTCCACACTTCTCTGCACCAAATATCTTGACTTGCATTGTAAAGCTAGAATGGGCTGCTTTCACAAAATATACAACAAAACCTGAGCTCCATACACTAAATGGCTCGCTGGGCTGTGCCTTGCCTGTTCTCATCCTGGTTTGTGAGGGTCAGGGTCCATGAATGTCAGCTTCCTCCAGACCTCTATGTCACGCCAAGTTTGTGTTTGCGCTGGACAAATCATCGCCGTCTTTTTATGTGGTCTCTTTTCGACAATAAATGAGGATGGAAAGGTCTTTAAAACACCCTAAAGTGACTGACAACACGTGCTCATGCGCTGCTGCTACATTAATAAAGGGGCGGTGCTTGTGTGACGTTACGTTACGCCGCAGAGTGCTATTCGCGCTGTGATTGGCTGAGCGCGAATTTTGAATTTAACTCTGCACAACACAGAGCGCAGGTCTCATCCCGTTCTGAGTTATGTGTCAAAGTTATCCTTTAGATTGATTTAGTAGTTTTTATCCACGTAACACTGGAATCTTATCTGTTGGATCGCTGTACTTTTGTCATACGGAAATGGATGTCGCTGCATATTTACAGTATGTAAACTTTTATGTCCATTACCTCTGTGTTAGCGGTTAGCATTAGCAACGGTTAGCATTAGCGACAAACAAGAATTTATTGTTAACCTTATGTGATTTTGGCTCGTTTTCACTTTGTTTTTGTGTGCTTTTAAGGCGTTTTGAGAGCAGTATAAGCACGTACGCGGGAGATGATCCTCTGGAGCAGTGGGACAAGTAAGATAAAGAAAACACTACTTTCCAAATAAAACCATGGTCTGTCACTATAGTGGATATACCCTGAAAATACAAAGACAATGCAGGACTTACAGTGTTTCTACTGTATCTCCAAGTAAAACAATCTATCACAGCTTCACAAGTCACAATGAGAATCATGTTAAGAAGTACAACACAATATAATTGTCATCTGGACAATGCTTATGTCTCATTAAAGTTCTGAATGCCAGATGAGAGCTCTGGTTGTTTGATTTGGCCCGTGGGTCGTCTGTTGTCACTTCTGTATTTAAAGCTACAATCAAGCAATAGAAGTTTATACCGATCATGTTAAATGGATTTAGATCTGACTTTGATGCTTTTGTCTCTTCTAGGTTTGTTGAACTCCTAGAGCGGAAGTTACCCCCAAACAGCACCAGCCAGCTGTCACTTGTGTTTAACCGTTTAGTTGAGACATTTCTAAATGTAGAAAAATATGCCAATGATGAAAGATATATCAACTACTGCATCAAATGTGTAAGTGAACTAGATGATTGCTATTATGCAAAGTAGATGGATAAATCTATGTGTATTAATAACATCATAAAAGTGCATTTCCTATTCAAGTAAAATAATCACACACATATCTGTATCTAATCCTTCATCTAATATTTTTCCCCAGGCAAGCGCATATGCTGACCCCATTGCCCTGTACAGTCACATCTTCAGTCAAGGCGTCGGTACACGAAGCACTGCTCTGTATTTGTCCTGGGCACAACAGTTGGAGCAGAGTGGCTTGAACGATCAGGCCGAGACAGTTTACCAGAAGGCCCTAGAGAACCAGGCTCAGCCAGCTGAATCACTGCTTCATGAATACAGGTAGATTATTGCTGTACTGTTGATGCGTTTGTTTGATTTTATTTTTACTCTTTGTTATTATAATATATTGTGATATGTGAGCTACTGTGTCCAAGTAATTTCCCTTGTGGATCAATGAAGTTTGTCTAAGTCTATTCTGAAAAAAAAAACAAAACAGCAGCTTTGACCTTATTATTAAATGTGTATTTCATCAATTTCAGGCAGTTTCAATCAAGAACGAAGCGTCATGTAGCAGCATTAGGTATGTATAGATAATTCTTTTACTTCCCTGGTCACTGACTACTAATGTCCATCATAACTGTTCTTTCTCCGTTGAACATAAAGGCATGAAAAATTACAGATTACAAATTACAGTCCTTTGCAGTAGTAGAACAATTGTGTATCAATTTGTTTGTTTATTTTAAATAAAATAATGTTTTTCTTGTGCAGCAGGAAGCAGAAACCCTTTACAAAACTCCAATTCAGTCAATGTAATGCCAACCCATAGAGAGTCATCTGCACAAAACAAGGTTTGAGTCTTTGAATTGTTACTCTGTTACTCATTACATGTCTGGTATTAACTGTGTGTTTTTCTGCAGGACACTAGAGCGGTAGACTGCCAACCTGCCAAACCAGCAGAACGTAAATATGTTATCATGTAAGATGTCACGTCTTTACTTCAGCCACTAAAAACAAAACATGAGTGCATTGTGGGTGACCATAAAGTTGTCATGTTAGAATCTACCAAAAAGTGATTTAAGGTGACAGATAACTTGTGGATTCAATGCAGGTTTGTGTTGTACAGGCTCCAAGAGACGAGCCACAGCAAACCATTACAGTTATGGATTAGATGGTTAATGAAGGTTGTATATTGGTATTGTATAGCAGAATTATGATATTACTTTTCTGTCTTTTTCACAGGGTTTCTCGCTCTGAGTACTCTGGGAAAATCCCCCCGAGCTCTAATGATAACACTGTAGCTGCATATGACAAGGAGGCTCTGCAGTGCGAGGACTCTGAGCTGTGCTTCGAAGAGGTGCGGGCCCAGAGGTACTTCCAGAAAATCCAGGAGCAACAGCAGAAGCAGAAGCAGGAAGAAGCTCAGAGCCATGAAGCCACCAGTATGTTTCAAATCTGAACAGTGCGCTTTAGACAGCCTAAGTGTATTGATAAGAAATATGTTATTGTTAAGCTGTTATAAAATAAGTCTGTCTTGTTGCAGCCTTTGAAGGAGAGGAAACGCAGAATGTGAATTTCTGGATGAAGTTTAAAATGGGCCTTGATGCACTGGAACATGTAAGTATCAAATCACTGAGACAAATCTGATAGCAAACATTTCTCAAGCACACCAAAGCGTGATCTTGGCTTTTATGTGGCGGTCCGATTTTTGATAGAAAGTTACTGCTTATACAATACCGTTTATGGTTTGAAAAACAAAATGTACAAATTTATAAGAAAAACGTTGGGTACTTCAGCTTTAAATACAACATATTATGATATAGAGGTCACATGACTTTTATTTTTTATTTTTTGGTTCGAAGTGATCCAATTCAGACAAGCGCACCCCTTTATAGTTCACAAAAGTAGAATACATTTACAGCCCGTTTGAATGCAGTTGCCTAAACCCCACAACTTTCAGATTTCAGACCTGACCACAAACTTCAGTCCAGTCAAAGACGCCCATCACTCTTCAGTGCACTCGCGGCCTCCTTCACATCCCGGCAGCAGGAAGTCTCTGGGCTTTAGGCTGCACTCGGAGCCCACGTTTATCGCCTGTGCCCCCACAAGCTCTGGACCTGATTCTCATGTGGACACCAAAGCTTTAGCTTATGGACAATCCCACCAAGCACCAGTTACCCAAGTACCCCAGCAACTTCCAGTCCCAGGGGCCAGTGCGACCAATCAGGCACCGCTTTCAGTTTCAAACATCTCCTACCAAGCACCTCGTCCCAGTGTGCCCCACCAAGCCCTTCTTCCCAGTGTGTCCCATCATGCACCAGTCTCAGATGCCAACATATCTCATCATGCACCTCTTCCAACTGCGTCTATGTCACATCATGAAGCCTTTTTACCACAGATGACCTCTGATCATTGTCCACCAGAAAATGACAACGGAGACAAGTAAGTGAACGCCATTGTATTTTGTGTGTCTGGTCTTAAAGCGCATGCTAAACTAGTTTACTGCGTAGTTATGATTGGACAAATGAAAATAATAATACATCAGTTTTATTTAATATAATATCAGTTAAGACGATCTTGTGTTTGGTTCTTTAATTTGAGGTAATAAGACTATTTACAGACTGATTTTGTTCCTGAACAAAATGTTTGGCATTTTGTTGTGTTGAGGATATAAAAGAGTTTCCTTTTTGCTTCCCTTTTTTAATATTTTTTTTTTCTCAAATTGCCTCTTGACTATGATAAATATTTACTGCAGGTTAGGAGTGGACAAGTATTTGTTTCCCCCTCATATTCATCGATCTCTTTAATTGTGGGATGCTCCTATGACGTGACAGTCCTTTATTTTTGTTTGTTAATAAAATGTTATTTTTATTTTGTTTATCCAGTGAGGAGGTCTTGGAGGCAGAGCAGGATGCTAATCGTATGTATACGTATATATAAGTCTCTGAGCATATATCTCTTTCATTGAGTTCTTCTGAAACCCTTGTTAAACACCACCTCTCTCCTCATCTCCTCTGTGTGGCAGTGTCCCAGGGCGGTAGTGCAAACCTGTCCCGTATTACTCCTAACAATTCTCTGGGTTACATTCAGGCCACTCCTTCACGGGTGCTACCTTCACCTACTGTCAACACCAGAGAAGCACTGGGTGAGCACTGCACAGGGTTACATGAACAGCTGAGAACCTAGTTTATGAAATTTTTGTGTTTGTTACTTATGACAAGTACTTAAGTTCACAATTTACAGTTTATCCAGAATGAATTACTAGTAAAAATTAGGGCTGTGCAATATATCTCAGGTGAATGTATAACAATTGTAATTTGAGTTGTCATGCAAATCGTGAAGGCTGCAAGTATTTAGATAATAGGATAGTATTTGATATGCATGTGATTCTTGTATTAGATTATAAGTTAATATTTTCTCAAGTTAATGAATGTAAATTTGTAGATTTGTGTGCTAATGTTTTACGTTTAAAGGGCCTATATTAATAATAATTAGGGATGTAACAATAACCGAAATATCGTGATATTGTATCGTTAAAAGTCTCACAATAATATCGGCCGTCACAATCTATCGAATTACAAGTCTCTTTGCTTAAATTTATTGTTATGGTGCAGCAACAGCTTAAAAAACAGACAGAACTACATAGACCATGATCCTTTGCTCTGTTTTAGTCCAATCTACATAAGACAACTGTTATTAAGCACGTTTCAATCTTAATTTGGGTCTGGATTATGACAGAAAAGTAGCATATTCACAATTTTGTTCTCTTCTGCAAAATATCGCATCGTGAGATGCATATCGTGAAAATATCATATTGAGAGATTTGGATATCGTTACATCCCTAATAATAATTGTCTATTTTCTGAGCTATGTTATCATGTTTTCTCATCAAAACATACCTGGAGTTCTTTTCTGAAACAAAAAAAACACTCCACCTTGTGATGTCATGTGGTAATACAGCAAGTGCTGCACTGGGAAATTAAACTCCATACACCATCACTAGAATCATTTGGATGATTTCAGCCCTTGAATCACCTCATTTCAGTCCTGATATTGCCAATTTGTACTGAACAAGAGGTAAAAGGAGCTGATGACTTGAAAACTATCGCTTTGTAACATCACAAGGTGGAACAGAGCGTTTTGAGCTTTGGAGATGTAGACAGAATAATTATAAAGTGTAACTCAAACATGTGTGAATGAAGCAAAACACAACTCCAGGTCTGTTTTTGCAGAGGTAACAACATTCTAAAAGCTAACAAGAGTCAACTTTGCTTCATAGGACCTTTTTAAAAGTACAAATCTAATCACAATCGCCAATAGATTTATCTCCAAAAATCACGCAGCCTTAGTATAAATATTACAATGTATATGACAACTAAGCAAAACACTGTGACTTGCCTTGTATCAGCTTTAAGTGTTTTCCTTCTAGACGTGATCATGGACATGTTCCAGGCTCCTACGTTTTTGGAGGACCCATTCCCCACCGCTTCAGAGGAGAGGGACTTTGACATTATATACACAAGAAAAGGTATACACACTTATGTTTTATTGGTTTTAGTGAGATATTTAATGCCTGAAAAGTTTATGTATTTCAAAGCTAAACTATATTTGTCACTACTTCTGGTGTGAAAGGGTCCAGTGTCAAACCGGCCACGTCAGCCCCGTTCACAATCTTCCAGGACAATGAGGGGCAGATCGAGAACAAGGAAAACTGCAGGTACGCAAATCTGATGCCGGTATTGTCATAATAGGTTTCCATCGCAATTTATGTATTGGCGGTGGTTTAGTTAGGAACAGCACAAAGCTTATAAGCAACATTTTGAGTTCATAACATTACAACACATAACAGTGACTTTTTTTGTCACCCTGTTAGCAGAGAAACCAATTATTAATAAGGCCATATAGTATTAAAAGTAAACCAAAGAAGGAACTATATTGTGTTGTGGTGAGTTGTGGAGAGCAATGTTTGATATTAAAGTTGTAACTTTTCTGGTGATATGCTGTCTCTGGAGATATTGATATAGTTATTACTTCACCTAGAATATTCCACACTCCCCATTAAACCTAAAACTTTCTATCATTTATGTAATTACGGGAGTTATCAAATACCTTAGACTTAGACATAGACAAACTTTATTGATCCACAAGGGAAATTATTTGGACACAGTAGCTCACACATCACAATATAAAAGGGACAGGTTTCAAATAAGACATAATAATATAAATGTAAATGTACAAGTCAAAATAAAATAAGTAATACAATATAAAATCACAGCTTTATATAAGAGGTCATAGGAAAACAGTGCAATAATATGATGATTGACAGGACATAGGGTTATCCGTTACATAAATGTGAACTGTACAGTTGTAGGGAGTATTCTCTCTCATAAGGGTGATTTGTTGTACAGTAACTTGTAACTTGGCAGTGTTGCTTGTCTCTATGAAGATGGATAGATTTAATTCCATACTGTGGGACATTCATGAAAAAGCAATAACTTTTCCACTAGAAAAGTTACTTAGTGCAGCTTTAACTATACCAGTTTTCTAAGCACAAGCAATTAATATTTATCTTTGCAGTGCGCCCCCTGCTGTGAACGAGAATCCTAAGCCGGTCAGAGCTCTGGCTGAACTACCCAAAGCTGCCAAACCCAATGTCAGTAACAAAACAATAATACATGAAACAATCTAGTTATAACTCCTACACTAGTCTAACATAGAGTACATTTGTCGCACAGGATACACCGACAGAGCTGGCCCCAGACGAGAGCACCATGTGGGGGACACAGTTCCACGCTCAGAATTCCCTGGCCGCGTGTCCCAACAGCACCTCGGACTTCGCCATGCTCGCCCAGTTTGTGTCCACGCCGTTCACCCACAAAACCCCCGTGAACACCAACACCTGCTTCTTCCCTGACCAAGGTACGGTCCAAAATTATTTTTTAAAACGTCTTCAATGGCACTTTTCAAACATGTGCATTTCAGATTTTCTTATCTGATCTTGTAGAAGTTGGTGAAGGGACTGAGGAGGATTTTGGGAGGCGCTACACCAAGAAATTGAGGTGAGTCCATAACTGTTTGTTTAGTATTTTATAATGGATGAATATGTACATTTTAACTGCTTTACAGTATTAAAGCTGACATCTGTAAGCTTATTTTATTTATTATAATTGTTTTAATACTAGTAGATGGATGTTGGGGCTGTGGTCTTTGATGCCAGCTTTGGTCTGACAGAAGGCTAGACTGCAGTAACGTAGATAGCATCTTGTGATGTTATGCGAGAATACAACAGGAGCAAGTTCACGACTCTACTTAGATTTAAAGCCATTTGTTTCTAGCTCTCACAAAGCACTTTTCACATGCATCAGGGTTCCCAAGGTCAAGGAAATCCTGAAAAATCGTGGAATTTTAGTATCTCTTTCACGCAACTATAGCGTTCTGTTAAGTTGTCATTAGGCTATTATGATTATCTACGAATGTATGCACCTTTTGAAGAGACAATAAATTCACTGACAGTATTTTGAACTATAATTTTGAACTATAATACCAAACCATGAGGTGAGTGGAAAGGTTAACATTTCATATTTAGCCCTCAAAGTTTGCTAAATTCTGCACATGTAGGTGCTGCAAAGTTATGGAAAATTCACTTTCGGTCATGAAAGTCATGGAAAAGTTTTGAAATTTTGTCATTAAAAAAAGAGTGGGAACCCTGATGCATACATTTTTGGGCATGAGCACAACTTTTGAAAGGCTTTTTTTCATTCTTCAGAGTGAAGCAGGGCTGGGTCAGTGAATCCAAGCGATGACTACTTTTACAATATACTCTATGGAGAAAAACGAAATTTTACTAGTTTACAAGAAAAGTTGGTTATCCTGTCTTTTTTTAATATTGATACTCTACCCAATTTATGCATTTGGTCTGAATTATTAGTGATACAGCATTAATTTTATGAGACTTTTAAGCCATCTTAGTTTTGTAATTTGGTAACGAAGAAGATTCATCATGTCACTGTTCTGGAGCTCAGTGTAATAAATAATATAACTCTTCATCCTGTATCCTCCCCTCTCTGACCCTTTTGTGTCCTCAGTCCCATCATGGAGCAGAGCCCGTTGGAGGAGCAGCCCGCAGGAGAAGACACGGCAGTGACTCGGCAGTCCCTGGGCTCTCGTCAGGGCACCATTGTGGGAGAGGGCGTGGCCATGAACACCCAGCTTCTGACCGCTTCCTGTACCACCATGGTCCAGCCCCCTCCCCCCGCGGTGCTGTCCTTCAGAGAGCAGACCCTCTGCCCCAGCAACACCTCCACACACAGGTGAGAACATGGATAGAATAGGATGGTGACACTCAATCTCGTCCTTTCGGTTACTACCCAGAGCTCATGGTGAGGAGCTCAGTCACACGGGAGGAGCTCGGAGTAGAGCCGCTGCTCCTCCACGTCGAGAGGAGCCAGTTGAGGTGGCTCGGGCATCTGTTTCGGATGCCTCCTGGGCGCCTCCCTCGGGAGGTGTTCCGGGCATGTCCCACCGGGAGGAGGCCCCGGGGAAGACCCAGGACACGCTGGAGGGACTATGTCTCTCGGCTGGCCTGGGAACACCTCAGGGTCCCCCCGGAGGAGCTGGAGGACGTGTCTGGGGTGAAGGAAGTCTGGGAGTCCCTGCTTAGACTGCTGCCCCCGCGACCCGGCCCCGGATAAGCGGACGAAAATGGATGGATGGATGGACACTCAATGACAATTATTCTATTAAATTACAGCTTTGGGAATTTTTTATTTTTTTTTCCAAAGTGCTTAACTATATCCCACATCTTAATCCACAATCCACTTTAGAGCTGGAGTATCTGAATTTCAGAAGGAGGTATTTTAGTCTGTCTAACTTTCCCCTTGCTGTCGCAGTCCTTTGACCGACTGCAATCTGAACTCCTGAAAAAAAAAAACCATTATTATTAGGGATGTAATGATATCCAGAGGCTGATATAGTTGTAGATAGGACACTTTTTTGCTTTTAAAATACCCCAACAAGATTTTGGCGTGAATTATTTCTGTCATAATCCCAAGAATTCAAGTAAAAATGTATTTCTTCATGTTGATTGCACTGAAATGAATCATGGGATATGTAGTTCCCGATGTTTATTAGCTATTGGTACGATAAAACCATGCATTTAAGGAAAGGATTTTGTAATTCTGTATATTGTGAGACTTTTGACAATACAATATCACGATATTTCTGTTATTGTTACATCCCTTAGTTATTATTTTAGTCATTAGTGAGTACTTTATAAAGTTAATGGAAAAAAATAAGCTACATTGGTTTATGGTGTCTTTAGACCAAATTTTTTAAAGACACGTTTAATCTGCCTTTTTTCATATGAAGATGCCGTTTACTCGTGCTTCACTATAGTTTTCCCCAATAATTTTAGCCAGCAGCACACCACAGAATTTATTTGACTACAGTCCTGCATTGACTAAGTTTATTGGTCAATTGGTGCTTCATACAACATTTTAATCCATAACAATAATCTACACGTATGAACCAAAATCAACCCAATACCACTTTGCCTACAGGAGTACTGGACCTGGATGGGAAGTCTACACCAGCCCTGAGCCCAAGCCTAAGAGTGAGCCTTTCACCATCATGGAAGACATGGAAGAACCTCCATCTGCTCCCAGGCTTCCTCCTCCTCCTCCACAGGACGTCCCCATGAGCCCGGAGAGTGCCCCGCGGCCCGACTGGCTCACCATCCAGAGCCCCGAGGTGCCAGAGGAGAAGGACCTGGACGTCTTCCTCTCTCCTCATCGTCCCAATCTCTCACACGTGACCCATACAGTCCAGGATGTGCCCATGAGTCCCCAAGTGCAGTTTAGTACAGACAGTGAAATGGTGAGCCCGTACAAAGAGTCAAGAGCTCCGTTAGATGTGTCAATGACAAGCAGAACGCCGAGGACCGAGCGAGCTAACCCTGGGATGACTCTGGTGTCTGATCCGTGGAACGAGCAGCTCATTGAGCACCTGTTGAACAGTATGGACCCTCCTCTGACCACGCACCCTCGCTGTGTCACATGGCAGTGTAATCTCCCCAACATCGCACCCAAAATGACACTATCCATGGGTGAGTACTGTACACATGCGCAGTTTGTTGAGAATTGGTGCAGTTTTATCTGTGCTACCTTATCCTTATGAGATACAAGGTTGAATTTTACTATTGTATTCTATATCTACTGACATAAACGTCTTTGCATAGGACATATACTACCAGTCAAAAGTTTTAGAGCGCCACACTTTTTAAAATTTTTTTTTTTTACTGTTTACTGTTGACCAAAACATATTCCAGACTTTTGATTCATGAAAGTGTCCACCTTTGGCAGATATAACAGCTGAACACACTCGTGGCTCGTTCTTTTTACAATAGAAATCAAATATTTTTCAGAAAGTTCTTCCCAAGTCTGTTGCAGAAGTTCCCATAAATGTGTGGCACTTGTAGGTTGCTTGGAGTTCATCCCAAACCCGCTCGATGGGGTTTAAGTCTGGAGACTATGCTGGACACTCCATGTTTTCAAGTTTTACTATCTTCTTCTTTTTTTCTGTGGTAGTTTTGGCAGAGTTTGGACTTGTGTTTTGTTCTTTTATCTTTTTTAAACCTCTGGCTGTTCAGTTCTTACCTTTGTACCATTTCAAGCTCTTCAATGGACTTGCACGACTTGAACTGAAATAAATAACTGGAAAAATTAGGGTGTTCTAAAACTTGAGCGGTAGAGTGGGAATCTTTTTGCCTAAAATGATCTATCTATAATTATCTATTATCTATCTGTCTAGTAACCGGGCTCACAGATTGATATGTGCAGCTCTCTGAATTGACATTTATCAATCTGAAATGGCTCTCGCTGGAAACGATTGCAAAGGCAAAACTTCATAATGAGTATTTGAATCTGATTGGTCCAAGCATCACCACAGCAGAAGAAGAATCAAACTTGTTACTTGTTAAATACTGTCTTTTACGTCAGAATTATTTAATAATGACCCACAAGATATAACAATATAGCAGACAAAAGCATATGTCTTTAAAGTTTCTGTGGGGGAGCTGTAGTAATGCTGATGTTGTGTTCACAGGTAATTCATCTTTGCGTGTGGACTGTGTTCTTGGAGAAGGAGCATTTGCCAAAGTTTACCAGGCCACAGACCCAGTTACATCTGAGAAAATGGTTCTAAAGGTGAGTCATAACTGACAACTTTCAGTTGTCAGTCATGTGTCTGAGACACATGACCGACATGGATGACACATTATTTTATCTGTATGATTTTTAAACTTTGCAGGTGCAGAAACCGGCCAATCCATGGGAGTTTTACATTAACACACAGCTGGATGCTCGTGTGCCTCAGTCAGTGCGTCATTTTTACAGCAGTTTTCAGTCGGCTCATCTTTTCAAAAATGGCAGTGTCCTCCTTGGAGAGATGCACAGCTACGGCACACTACTGGTAACAGCAACTTTTCTACTGATTCTCTAGATCCATAATAACAAAATACTATAATACTAATCTGACTCTAACCCTGTTTTTATCTTCAGTCATGCACAAAAGTTACTTCAAAGTTGTCAACATCCACATATTAAGTGTCTTTCTTGTCCGTCCAGAATGCAGTGAACATGTACCGCACACTGGGGGACAAAGTGATGCCTCAGCCTCTGGTGCTGTACTTCAGCGCGTGTATCCTCCACATGATCGAGCAGCTGCACAGTGTGGGCATAGTCCACGCTGATGTCAAACCAGACAACTTTCTGCTTGGAGAGAGGTGGGTATTGTCAAAAACATTTTCAAGGCAGAGTTTAAATTGTCATTGTGAAACCTCTTAAGGCATTAATACAAACTTCTTGAGATAATAATTTTGACATTAAAAGTTTATAATAGGCAAAGAGACAGCAAAGCACTTGAGTCAAATGTGGCAGTGCGCTGTTTGAAACCCTTCCCCACAGTGACATCTTGTGGTAATATTTCAGTACTACAGGATCCACTGCACATACTACATGGAATATGGTTGCCAATAAAATATTTTTAATTCTGTCACTATCACAAAATCGCTGCGCCTCATAAACACTCAACACAGACTCTCAAGCAAGTTTTGTGTGTTTCGTGGAAAACCCTTAATGGTAGTGGCTTATGAAGAACAACTTTGTAAATAGTAAAATCATGTTGAGTTTTCAGTATAAATATTTCAGTTTTACGATACATATATATATATATATTTAGCCTGTTTCTTAACACATTTCTGCTGTCTTGTCTCTCAGGTTTCTGGAGAACAGAAGCTTTGACCGGGAGAACCTGGACCACGGCCTGGTGCTCATCGACCTGGGCCAGAGCATCGACATGAGGCTGTTCCCGCCGGGCACCGCCTTCACCGCCAAGTGTCTCACCTCAGGCTTTCAGTGCACGGAGATGCAGACAGGCAGACCGTGGAACTATCAGGTCAGAGACAAACACGTAAAATCTAACAGTAGTAGTAAGTATAATCCTACTTGGACCTAACGTGGTGTAATGTTTGGTTTCAGACGGACTACTTTGGCGTGGCGGGCACGGTCTACTGCATGCTGTTTGGGACCTACATGCAGGTGGTGAATGATGGTGGCGTCTGGAGGACTAATGGTGTATTTAGACGGTAAGGCACAACAAGTTTATTATCTAGCAATGATTAGAAACTGGTGATGTTCAACCTTTAAATTATTCAGGCAAAATTAAATTTGTCATTGTTTTACCTTCATTGAAAGTTTGACATTCAGTACAGAAGTGTGACTGGCCTGGATATATATATACAGTATATCAGGGCTGCTCGATTATGGAAAAAATTATTATCACAATTATTTTGGTCAAATCAGGATTATTCAAATGATTATTTTTTAGTTACACAATGCATTTATTCAGCATTTCTCTCTCAAAAAACACTTTGTTATTGATAATTTACACAAAACTTGAAAATAAATGTAAGTTACAAATATGAACCTTAGAGCAGTTTTGTGATGTATACAAAAAAAAAAAAGAATAAAATATACTTTGAACATGAAATAAGGCATAGAAAAACATAAATGTATCCAGTATAAACTATATATCCAGCTGTTCTACAATCTCTGTTCTAAAATAAATGTACTTATTTATATAAAAAAAATCTCAAAATAAACTTTAAGGTTTAATTTCAACTCAATTATGAGTTTGGAGATTGACACACGAAATCGAAATCGTGCTCAAAATTCAATTAATTGCACAGCCTTATAGTATATCCAATAATATAATGCCATAGATATAATGAGGTGGACGATGGTTTAATTTGAAAACTTTGAAAAAACAGACATGAAATCTGCTGTTGTTCTTTTGACTGTAATATTCCAGTGTCATAAAAAGTAAGTATCTTCATGACGAATGTTCCAAAGTATGCTGTTAACGTTCTATTTCCATGATGTTTGTGGTGTTATGGTAAGGTCTTACACATCTTAAAAAGGTCTTAAATTTCATGTTCCTAAATTAAGGCCTTAAAACGTCTTAAATTATGTTGTTGAAGTCTTATTTTTTTCACAAAGGTCTTAAATTTCATTAGCCTATTTTGTGTATACTCAACCGGGCTGCAGTGCAATGTTAAACGGAGGGAGGAAAAAACAACAACAATGTGAAATCTCGTAAGGTGAATGAACGTCTAATTTGGAGTATGCACAAAGATTTTGGGTTCTGGCGCCGGTGGCAATGAGTAAACAATCAGTACTGTGGAGGAAGACGTTAGATGGATCATGGGGAAGTGTAGGTTTAATCCAGGGTTAGTTCGATTCTAGGTATAGTAGTTGGTTGGTCATTATTAGAATTGGATCTGGTGTTTTTCGCCCGCATAATGGGAGCGATGTTGGTCTTAATTTTCATTTAAGTGGTCTTAAAAATGTCTTTAGAAAGTCTTAAATTTGGGGTAGTCAAACCTGGGGATACCCTGCATGAACAAAGAACTACTACTACATTACTGTTTATTGTTGTTGAAATCCCTCCCAAGTAGTTGTCCTTTTGATTTCAACATTATGATCAATTAATGAATACTACAAAGGCTTAAAAAGGCTCTCAAATCTATACCAGCTGACAACCACAGAACCATAACCACCTTGACTATCTTACATACCCAATATTAAACTTCACTTTTGCCCCATGGTGCAGGAATCCTCACGGCGAGTTGTGGCAGCAATTCTTCCACACCCTGCTGAACGTGCCCGACTGCAGCTCTGTACCGGACCTGAGAGGCCTGAGGCACCAGCTCGTGTCTGTGCTGGAGCAGAACTACAACTCCAAACTTCCCTCGCTCAAGAGCCGCCTGGTGGTGCTGCTTCTGGAGAGCAGGAAAGCCCAGCGCAGATGACCAACCGCACTCCTATGGACTTTAATACTGACTCTATGGCTCAGGTGATTGCCGTAAGGCGCAATCTGATCCTGTACATGTTGTAATTAAAATTTTGTATGTTTTTCTTATACTACTGGCTTGAAACTTCCATGGATAGAAAATTGAAGGTAAAATTTGGGTTATACTGAATCAGCATTATAATTTTTCAAACATGACCCTAACTAGAAGGCCTGCTTTGCACAAACCAGCTTTTACTTGTGTATATATACCAGTTAAAGCTACCATCTATAAGTGTTTTTCATTTTCTTTTTAACCACTTGTGCTCTCTGCTTTTCTTCTGTCAGACCAAAGCTGACACAGTATCAGACAGCAGTAACATAGGCAGCATCTAGTGGTGATATGTGAAAATACAACAGGGCCACTTTAATTACAGATGGTAGTTTTTAATTTGTATTTAAAGTTATATCTGATTGGCTTCAAATTATACTTTATAGTGGCGAAATGTGCTGGTAGAAAGCATCTGAATTTGTGAAGCTCAGCACATTAAACCAAAATATACAAATAAAGGGTCTTGTTGTGCAAAGAGAAGATGAGAAATGTGTTTTTGCATTGTAACACCTAAAGTTTATAATTCACTGTGACTGAACAGATTAAAAAATATGGTTTAAGAGGCAATATTATGCTATTTTCTGATCTCCAGTTTATATTGAACTAAAGGTAAAAGTAGCTGTTAACTTGAAAACTATGGCTTCATGACATCAAAAGGTGGAACAGAGCATTTTGGGGCTTTGGAGATGTAGACAGACTAATATAAGCATTACTGAAACAAAAGAAAACACAACTTCACATATGTTTTTGTTGAAGTAATTATAACATGGTTTAAAGTTGGTTTAAAGTTTACAAGAGTCAACTTTGTGTAATATAAAATCCAATCCAATCCATGGCGCTACTAACTGTATTTCATGCTATTATTTCTTAATGTGTACATAGAAAAAAGTGTTGCTCTTTTGTAATATTTTTATTAGAAAGCACCCGTAACCCTGTCTTTTAATAAAATTCTTAAATAGCTGTGTCCATGTTCGTTCTGTCATGTGTCTTTGAAGTGCCCCCGGTGACAGAGAGACAAAAATGCAGATAAAATGTTCTGGGATGCGCCTCGACTTGTCACTTAAGACCAAGCACGACAATGTGGAATTTCTAACAGTTGTGCAGAGGTGGCTAGTATTGCTTTCACTTGAGTACTATTTTAAAGAAACTACTCCTCATGACTACTTTTCTAGCATATGTTTACCCCTACTTGAATATTTTTTAATTGAAGTAACAGTAGTAAAAGTTTAAGTAAAAGTTTTGGTTGCTCTTCCCACTATGAGTGCATCTACAAGTGACTGAAGCTTTGTGTTGACAATATGAAATTATTTGAACATTTGTGTTTCTTGCAACAACAATTTTGAGTATTATTTATTTGTTTTGTCCTTCAAGAAACATTGACATCAAATTATAAATCAGATTTTACTTCCCAACAGTTACGCTTAAGTTTTCTTAATCGAATAGTGCTTTTTTTTTTTTTTTACTCTGACTTGAGTAATTGTAGTAAAAGTTTAAGTAAAAGTTTGTGAGTACGTCGACAAGTGACTGAAGTTTTGTGCTGACAATATGAAATTATTTGAACATTTGTGTTTCTTGCAGTGACAATTTTGAGTTGTTTGGTCCTTCCAGATACATGGACATCAAATTATAAATCAGATTTTACTTCAGAACAGTTACTCTTACTTGAATAATACTTTTTCCAATTTTTTTTTTTTACTCTGACTTGAGTAATTGCACCACTATTGTACTTTTGCTTGAGTAATATTATTTTGAAGTAACGTTACTCTTACCTAAGTACAATTTCTGGTTACTACTTCTACTAGAGTTCTGCAAACCAATGTAGAGAGTCAGGTTCTTTTTGCACATTAAATCAGCTTCAATAACTTTACAGAATTTGGTGCTAAAAGCTATTATGTTATTTCACATTGTGGAACTATTTATGTAATTTCCGTTCTAATTATGTTAAGAAGAAGTATAAAGATTATCATTAAATGGAACAGTACCAAATTTAAGCTTCCTTTCTATGTTGACATAACTGATAATTACCATATTCACTTCCTTACATGTCTGGCAGCTTTTGTAATGTTGTGTTCAGTGCAGAGCAAAACCTAAATATCTGGTTGGACGACTGTAGTTTTGGGGCGTGGGAGGAGTTTAGGCTTAAAGCAATTCTAATTCTAGGTGACAGGGTTCGTTCTGTTCACACACAACAAGAAGTTACAGGAGCAGGAGAGCGGGAGAGGAAGAGGAAGAGGAACATGGCCTCACGGGGGCTCACGGATGAAGAGGTGGCTGCTATCTGCAAAGAGGGACACCCCATGACTCAGGTAAGGGGAGAAATATTAAAGTAGCTGTTCCTGTTGACCGATTGTTATGCGGTAAAACCAGTTTGAGATCAGATTCATGAGTAAGTAGGACTGTTAAAAGTATAAAAGTTGTACTCAAGTTGTGCATAGCTGGATGCAGATGGTTTGAATGAATGAATGTGAAATTGTAAAGCTGTTTTCTATGGATGAGAAAATGCAAAAGTGACTCTTGTGAGCTTTAATGTTGTTAATGTTGTTACCTCATCAAAAATATACCCAAAGTTGTGTTTTGTTTCATTCAGACGTCTGAGTAACCCTTTAAAATTACCGTAGTTAAAGTTTTTCACCAGCTACCTTTTAAATTTAGTTTAGTAGAGGTTGAAAATTATCCAAATGATTCTAAAGAAAGTGTATAGAGTTTAAAACTAGAGTGGACACCGTATTACCTCATGACATTTTGAGATGAAACAGAGTGTTTTCTGTTTAGACCTCAACCTAAATATGAGTTTGTGTTAAACTGTGGTATGAGGAAACAGAATTTTAACATAGATAAGAAAATATTTGAATATGAACTCCATAAAAGTGAAAATATAAGTGATTACATAGACTAATCTGCCCTTTCGATATTATTTTGGTGTGCAGTAAGTACTATGACGGCTTAGACAGCAAATATACATTATCACTAAAGTATAAGAAGTAAAATATGAGTTTTGTGTGTTAAACTGTTGTATGAGGAAACAGAATTATGACATAGATAAGAAATTTGTGTAATATGAAAGCCCTTAAAAGTGAAAATATAAGTGATTACATAGACTAATCTGCCCTTCTAGTATTGTTTTGGTGTGCAGTAAGTACTATTACTGTTTAGACAGCAAATATACATTACTACTGAAGTAAAAGAAGTAAAATATAATTGTCTAGACTGAAGGCTTACACCCTTTCCATCGCCTAGTAATGTAGGAATCAGTACAAACTGTGTGATAAACTTTGTATTAATCATGTAAGTAATATAATAGAATAAATACTTTAAGGTTTGGGGAGTTGTGATTTCAGATGCTGCCACAAGATGTTGCCAAAACTGCACGTTGGAGTTGTTTTGAGCCACAACCTGTCGAGAACGTGTTATTTAGTGTGGTTTTCCAGCTGCGAGTGTGAACACATTCTTCAGCTCTCTAACATGTTATTACTAACACATGACTGTGCTGGGCTGTCGAAAGGGATTTGTCATCTGCAGTATTTGTGTTTTTGGATGGATAGATTCTCTCTGCAGCCATAAGCCTCTTAAGTAGGTCTATTAACATGAGCAGACAGTGTTGAAGTGTTGTTTTGTTTTGTGTTGTGTGTAGGATTACATGATGCAGCAGACCATGCTGAGGGTCAAGGATCCCGCCCGATCTCTGGACTTCTACACCGGGATCCTGGGAATGACGTGAGTGGCTTTACAGGAGCAGGATGAGCACCTCAGCATGTGGACTGTTGTAAGAAAGAGACACTGAAAGAGAGACAAAAAGAGATAGTAAGACAGAGAGAGTAAAAGAGACAGAGAGAATGTGTGTGTTTGTGTGAGAGAGAAAAAGACACTGAGAGAGAGAGAGAGAGAGACAGAGAGAGAAAGTATAAATCTCACTAGTGGGACATGGTCTAAATAAGTGTAACGAAGGATAGGGGGCTAAATGGTTGTTCAGGACACCCCAAAGAGGAACAGGTGGTCAAGACAGTTTTCATTCAAGTCAAGGTCTTCATCATGCTCCTTTTCAGGCATGTGTTTTGTCTGGATTCAGGGCACCATGAAATTAATTTACTCACCAAATGCAGCCCTAAAAGTCTTCCAGATGAACAGAACTGTGAACTTTTTATTGCAGGTTTAAATCAATTACAGCATGGCAAATATTTTGAAGTATAACATGGAAATGGTCAGGTCTTATTTCTCATTTAGTGTCCAAGAAATCTGAATTGGACTCCTCTGACTTGTCCTAGTAGCTCATTATGTGTCAGAACGGACGGAAGCTTAAACAAGAAACCAGAAACAAGTTAAAAGAGGATGAACTTGATGTCATATTTGAGTTTAGTCAAATATCTTGTTCAAATGTGTGTAAAATCCCTCAGTCGTCCAGGTATAATCCATGGCAAAGGAGAAATTCAATTTGTCAGCTGGACAGAAGTTGACAGATTTGAAGTTCTCTTTTGCTAAATCATCCAAACATTTTGCTGATTAAAGCCTATTTAAGCTGCCTATTTTAAAAAGTTGTACTGAAATGAAATAAGCCTATGTCTTATACCAGGTTACTGCAGAAGATGGACTTCCCGGCCATGCGCTTCACTCTGTACTTTCTGGGCTACGAGGACAAGGCCAATATCCCCCAGGATCAGTTGGAGAGGACGGCATGGACCTTCTCCAGACACGGTCTCATCGAGCTCACACAGTACGGACCTCAAGTTTCCTGCCCCCTATAGACACACTGGCACATCTATGTACTACCTCTGCTCTGGAAAACATAGAAAAGTGCAGCATTGTCTGATATTAAAGGCTATTTCTGTGTGTGCGTGTGATATTTCAGAGTGATCTCAGTGTTTCATATCCTGTTTTTTTCAGTAACTGGGGAGCAGAGAAAAATAAGGACTTGAAATATCACAATGGAAACAAGTCACCACTGGGGTTTGGTGAGTCCTAGTGCCCTGTTATTGAAACTCAGTTCATGATGGAAGAATATTGGTGAAACATTATCAATAATATCAGTAATTGTAAGAAAGTTTCTGTTTGTAGGTCACATTGGTATTTCAGTGCCTAACCTGGCTGAAGCCTGCTCCTACTTTGAGGAACGTGGGGTTACATTTGTGAAGAAAGCATATGCAGGTATGTATCTTTTAAAGAAACTATACGTAGGATTTAGATTTTAAATTTCATACTCATAATCTGTTTTCCCCAGACATGAAGTAAACATGTTCAAATCAAATAAAGCTTTTACAGTTAACAATTGCAATGTAGATTTATTCTTAGTTACAAAAACTTTGGGCATTGAATTTATGTTATAATTTAATGTTTTGATTCTCAAGCCAATTAAATCTGAAAGCAGAATGGGTCTTCTAATTTGAGCTGCCAGTTTCAATGCTGAAATCCAGTTGCTTCAAACCTAGAAGGACTCTCTCAAATTTCAATTGCTGCTGCCTAAATCCCTAGCCAGACTGGCGCCACCTAGTGCCTCCGCTCAATTTAATTTCTCTCCAGCGACTAGGTCAGGAATCAAAATACAATAGATGGTTCGCAAAAACCCTGGAAGTGCGAGTTTGGGCACCAGCCAAGTCAGCAAAGAGCCATATATTGTGTTGTCAACGATTCCTGAGATCGAGGATTTAAAGCTGGAATAAAGAGAATGTTTGGTGAATTTCATCAAGGGGAAAGACGTTATTGCCCTTCTTCCTACGGGATTTGGAAAAAGCTTACCCCCTGTTAGCGGAGCATTACATATGTCACAACCAAATAGCAGCGATTGATTAAATAAAAAAGTACCCACATACCCTCGAGCGAACGAATTCTAACACTGCAAGGTCAGACAGTTTCTACAAAGTGAAACCAGCTGATGAATCAGGCTACTAAATCCCAGCACCTGCAGACAAATTTTTAAACCAATCTGCAGCTCAGGGAGGGAATTCTGGAGGTTCTGAGCGTTCACATGAGGCCTGTCCATAAACTGAGAATGAAAAAAACTTGTATGTGTCCACTATCTGCAGGTTCAGCCTCTGGCAACACAGGCTGGAACAAATTAGGTCTCACAGTTGCCTGTTGAGACCACCAGAGGGCGCCTCTTACAAAGCATTTATTAGCAGTAGTGTTGTAATTTAAATGCAAATTCCAATATATCCTGAAACTATATGTAACAGATAGATTTTAAATAATAAAAAAGTAAAAATGACTAAAACAAATTTCAGTATTGTAATTTTAACCTTTAAACCTCTTCCTGTTTGTTTCAGGGAAAACAAAGAACCTGGCGTTTATACAGGACCCTGATGGATACTGGATTGAGATTCTGAACCCTGTAAACATGTGCGAAGTAATGTCTCAGTGAACATGTAATTTATTAACAAATCCTCCATAGCCTAGAGTCCAACTGTTTACAATCTCCTTAATGCTCATTTCTCAGGGTGATATTTAATCGTAGAACTACAAAAACAATAAAAAAAAGTATTTATCTGAAAGTATTTTATTTGTAAAAAGTAAATAGCAGCTTAAATAAAACCACCTCAGATTATTTGTTTACAGTCATTTCTGTTCAAAACACAGGAGAGATAAGAAAGTGGAAGGTTTTTTTTCGGACTGTTAGATGTCAGAAACAGGGAAGGCAATCGGCTGAGTAGTTGGTCACAGTTTAAAAATCCTAAATCAAATCCACCATGTCCAAAATGTTAACTATATATTAGCAGCAAGTTATGTTCAAATAGGAGAAATGAAAAGGCCAGGCTAGGTGCTACACAGAGCCCCTCGGGTGTATAATGTGTTTTGCTTAGAAAGAATAGAAATAGAACAGTATTAGAAAAGAAAATCACAAAATGAGTTAATTTAAAATGTGTCTGTAGAGTTGTGCCTGATTGGTGTACTTCAGGAGGCCTCCAAGTGTGTCAGAAAGCCCCCACTTCAGTCCCCCAGGGCCGGTACGGTTTACTGCTGCTGTGGGGCATCTGCGGACCAGTGGACGACACGGGGGAGGGGGCGGGCGGACATACGGTGGCCTGGACGGAGGTGATGCAGTGGGGTGTGAAAAGAGGGACACAGGCTCCCTCCACGGGTGCTGGGAGAGTGTTGAGTCCATAGAGCGCAGGTCTGAGTGCGGCAGTGGGGGGCCAGTGGAGGTGCAGGTAAGGGTGTGGAGGGGGGTAGTGATGCCGGGGAGGCAGGTGCAGGCGGCAGGCGCAGCTGGTGAGGTGGGACAGCAGCCTGGAGCGCAGAGGGTCCGTACAGTCCAGCCCCTCCACAGAGCTGAGGTACCGGGACACTTCAGACACACACTCCCGAAAGCCCAGAGACAGGAAGTCCTGAGCCAGGGCCTGGGCGTCAAAATAACCTGAAGAGCACAGAGGACAGGGAGGACATGCATTATTTTCTTTTACTACAATCTTTTACAATGCTTTACAAAGACAATGGGTCTGGAATTGTATCCTGTCTCTACAGTTTTTGATGGGTGTGACTGACAAGTGGATTAACCAGTCAGAGCTTACAAACTGTGACTGGAACTTTGCAGAAATGAGCAGTTGTCCGATATGTCTAGATCAGACCTGGGCATTGTGCATCTCTAGGGCCACATATTGTACGGTCCTTTGGCTGACTCTGACTGGCCTGTTTAGGCTAATGTGGAATTACAAAATATTTTATACTTTTACCTCATGCATGGACTAAAGCCGGACATACACTGTGCGATATTTTCGATTGTTTCACTCAGCCCCAGCTCAAACTGTACGACCAAATTGCTACTATATGAATGACTTCAACAGTGCAAAACCCTCACGAAAGGAGCCTGGATTTCAAACAGGTTTGATATTCTTGTGACCAACAATTGCCGATCAGGAGTTGGTCGTGAGTTATTAATCGGCTCTCATTACCCCAGGAGCTGTGTTTAAGTCAGACCTGTTCCCGGTGCATGTTGGACTCCGCCAGGGCTGCCCTTTGTCACCGGTTCTGTTCATTGTGTTTATGGACAGAATTTCTAGGCGCAGTCAGGGGCCGGAGGGGGTCCGGTTTGGGGACCACAGGATCTCATCTCTGCTGTTTGCAGACGATGTTGTCCTGTTGGCTTCATCGAACCAGGACCTGCAATGTGCACTGGGGCGGTTTGCAGCCGAGTGTGAAGCGGCTGGGATGAAGATCAGCTCTTCTAAGTCTGAGGCCATGGTTCTCGACCGGAAAAAGGTGGCTTGCCCTCTCCGGGTGGTGGGGAGTCTTTGCCTCAAGTGGAGGAGTTCAAGTATCTCGGAGTCTTGTTCACGAGTGAGGGGAGGACAGAACGTGAGATTGACAGGCGGATCGGTGCAGCTTCGGCAGTATGCGGTCGCTTTTTTTTACCGTTGTGGTGAAGAGGGAGCTGAGCCGAAAGGCAAAGCTCTCTTTTACCGGTCAGTCTTCGTTCCTACTCTACCTATGGTCATGAGCTCTGGGTAGTGACCGAAAGGACAAAGATCGTGGATACAAGCGCTCGAAATGAGTTTCCTTCGCAGGGTGGCTGGGCGCTCCCTTAGAGAATTTGAGGAGCTCAGTCACACGGAGGAGCTCGGAGTAGCGTCACTGCTCCTCCACGTCGAGAGGAGCCAGTTGAGGTGGCTCGGGCATCTTTCCGGATGCCTCCTGGAGGTGTTCCGGGCATGTCCCGCCGGGAGGAGGCCCGGGAAAGACCCAGGACACGCTGGAGGGACTATGTCTCTCGGCTGGCCTGGGAACGCCTCGGGGTCCCCCGGTGGAGCTGGAGGACGTGTCTGGGGTGAAGGAAGTCTGGGAGTCCCTGCTTAGGCTGCTGCCCCGCGACCCGGCCCGGATAAGCGGACGAAATGGATAGATGGATGGATGCTTTTATTTTAGAGATGTTTTTTTTGTTTTTTTACATTTTTTGTAAGGCAACCTCACTTTTTCATTCTTAGTCATAACATAAACTCTTACCAGTCTTAGGGTAGCAAAGCTGCCTATCTAAGCCACTGACTATTGTGATAATTACCAACCACTCACTCGAACAAGCAAAGAGGGTCTGATGTTTTGCCCATTACTCCAAACTGCGATCCAACTGCAGATTTTTTTGGTATTTGGGCAAATGCTCTAATCACTGAGCCACTCTTGTAATTGGTGTTTGTCCTCTGATCTAAAGGTTTGAATCCCGCTCCAAGCATAAACATTAGAAATGTAACAATATCCAAATCTCCCGGTACGACATTATCACAATATGCATCTCACGGCACAATATTTATTGCAATATTTTGGAGAGACTAAACAGATAGGAGATAGGAGACTTTTTTGCTTTCAAAATACCTTGACAAGATTTTGGTGTGAATTATTTCCATCATAATCCTTAGAATTCAAGTAAAAATCATATCCCTTCATGTTGTTTGCACTGAAATTAATCATGGGATATGTAGTTTCTGATGTTCATAAGCTGTTAGTACTATAAAACCATGCATTTAAGCAAAGGATATTATTGTGAGACTTTTGACAATACAATATCACGATATTTCGGTTATTGTTACATCCATAATAAACATCCCTGGTAAAATGGTAAGATCCACTGACAGTCAGGTTGGCGGTCACATACATTTATACTAGAATAACACAAGTGACTGAAACACATATTTGCTCATGGCAGATTATCTTCATGTATAATGCTTCTGTTGAACCAAACAAGCCGTTCTGTATGTGACCACTTCTCCATCCTAACAGTCTTTCCCTGAACACTCCAAATCAAAGCCAAAAGGCCCGGATCCAAGTCCAGCCCTGCAGCTATTTCCCATGGACCTCCACTCCGAAGTACAGCTCATCCTATAGATTGTTCCATCATGTTATCACTTCATACAGACTCCAAGAGACAGGCGTGAATGATTTTTTCTTTGTGTGGGTATGAGAGAGAGACACTGTACTGCTGATGTCCTTGAGGGAAAGTGAGTATACATGAATAATACTTTTGTTTAGCTCCACTTTTGATGAGAAAAGTGACAGTGGGACCGGTTGAGTTCTAGCCCAAGGCCTCACCGCAAAAAAGATATGGAGTTATAAATAGTCTGTATTTTGACATTTTACATATTAATAATCACATTTAAACCAGAGACTAAGTATATCTAATCCACTAGTTCCAAATATGAAATGTTCACAGAGACACTTGTGGCTCCACTGACTCTGTTTCCTATTGAATATCAATGTCATCCATTTCTGTAACTGAGGCAATGGGCCTCGTCATTTTGGTCTTAAAATGTTCGTATTAACCTGATCTACATGATGCTATTTTGTACATAAATCAATTCCTATTCCTAATATGGACCTAGCTCCACATTTGCCCCTATAACTGCTGGCCTTGTGAGCTTCATTTGACTGGAGCTGAACGCTGTGGGTAACGGGTAACTTTATACAGTCTCTGAGGGATGTAACAAAAACCGAAATATCGTGATATCGTATCGTCAAAGCTCTAATAATAATATCGTGGACCATCACAATATATAGAATTACTAGTCTTTTGTTTAATTTAAGTTATGGTGCAGCAATAGCTAAAAAAACAGAGGGAACTACATAGACCATGATCCTTTGCTCCATTTCAGTGCAGACTACAAGAAGAAATAACAGTTCTAAGCACTTTTAAATTCTTTCGATTAAGTCTTGTCAAGGCATTTTAAGAGGAAAAAGTAGCATATTCACAGTTTTGTTAACCTCCACAAAATATCGCAATAAATATTGTACCGTGAGATGTATATCGTCAAAATATCATAATTAGAGATTTGGATATTGTTACGTCCCTAATCATGAGCCTCTCCACCATATCAAGAGCTTTGCCATGATCGCAATAAATATCGTACTGTGAGGTTCATACTGTGACGATATCATATAAAATATTTCTGAAAAAAAACCAAAAACGTTTTGTTATCATTGCATTGGCCATGTTAAAACTCACACCAAAATGTGCTCATAATCTAATTTTGACAAAATGTAGTAAAATAGTTTCTGATGAGTGCAACTGTTTTAAGAGTCTCTCTTATACTCTTTTATATTGTAAATAATCTTGTAACGTGTGAATAATTAGGGGTTTTATTAGTATGTTTATTCTTATGCTTTGTATTCACTGGTCTGCTTTTTGTGCTGCTGCCTTTTGACCAGGTTGTTGTTGTAATAAATAAGAACTGATTCCTAATAGTCCTGTCACGATAACACATTTTGAACCACGATATATCGCTACAGAGAAATGCCGCTGACACAAAGCAGGATAATCCTAGTAAACATATTTTTAAATATACTGTACAGCATCATTATGGCTTTGTGTGAACTACTAGAAATAAACAGCAGAATGCACCAATAATTAGCTACAGAAGTTACTTATTCAACTCTCTACAGCTCAAATATTGTTTCACATAAAAATTGATAAAAACTTCCCACTACTGCAAAAAGAAAATGTACACACGATACATACTGAGCCCTAAAATAAGTCGATATTATAATTATGGTGACAGGCCTGGTTTTCAATTGATCTACTTGGATAAATAACTTACTGGTTGTGGTCAGGTAAATGTACCCACTAACAACTCAACAACAAGTCAAGTGCAGAAACATTTAAAATGCTTCACCTTTTCCTCCCGTGGCCTGCAGCATCTTCAGATGGTCCACAGTCATCTGCAGAATCTCGGCTTTCTCCAGTTTAGCCGAACCCTGCACAGTCGACAACAACAGTTTGTATTCATTTTTAGGTTTCACTAAGTAGCAAGCTGTGGACAACTGAGATGCTACAGGCTTTTTACACCATATGTGGCAGCAAACATTTATTATTAGTCTGTCTACATCTCCAAAGCTCAAAATGCTCTGTTCCACCTTGTGATGTGATGAAATGGGTCGTTTTTAAGTTACCTGTCACCTTAAATTTAGAAGAGATTGGCAACTGCAAAGCTGAAATTATCCAAATGATTGAAATTAAGGTGTATGGGATTTAAAAACTCAGCCTAATATGCAGGTTTTGTGCATTAACTATGTGAGAATCAAACAAAACACAACTCCTGGTATGTTTTTGATGAGGAAACGATATTTTAACATAGATCAAAATGATAATTGTTCAAAGAGAAGAAGCTTTTTATACTTCATGTTTTGTTACTTGTATATGGCTGCATGAGATAAGTGATTTCCAAATAAGTTTGTTATATTAGGACATCATTTAGTTGTTGAATCTTGTTCCTCACCTGCTTCTCAAATGCAGAGGGCACCAGTCTCCTCAGCTCTAACAGACTGTTGTTGATTCGGTCCCTGCGCCTCTTCTCAATGATCTAAACATAACAAGAGAGATTACATCATTCTTAAAATAAACCATTATACTGTTATCATTTCTCATCGGCTAACTCAGTCATGCTTTTCTTTTTAATTACCCCTCTGCGTTTCTTCCTGGCTATGACTTGAGTTGTTGTGGTCGGCGAGGCGCATCTTATGAAGGACGCCTTTATGTGCCTGGGGAAAAGACACGAATATTAAAAACAGAGTAACTTTTTAAAGAAATTGTACTTTTCATTGTATTTTTCTCACAGCATACTCTTACTCCTACTTGAGAAAAAGAAAGAAAAAGTTTTGGCTACTCTTCCCACTCACTGTGAGTAAATCTACAAGTGGCTTTATGTTGACAATATGAAATGATTTGAACATCTGTGTTTCTTGCATCACTCATCATATAACGTTATGATTTAATGTTAGTTTTCCCATTTTTATGTCTATCCTTTGAAAACTTTGTGCATTATTAAAATTTTGTCCTTCAAATGACATAGCTTCAAGTTATGAATCAGATGTTAATGTCCTGAGAGTTACTCTTACTTCAGTAGTAGTTTTCCCAAATACGTTTTACTCTTTCTTGAGTAACTTCTTGGACCACTACTTTGAAATAACATTATTCTTATCTGAGTACAATTTGTGACTATAATAGGCCACACTACATTACTTCCACTCCATTTATAAGTTCTACAACTTAAATGATTATTTAATTCTTAAAATAATTGGGGTGGGACGATACGTTTCTTCAGCCTACTCCTTTTGAGCACCAGAAATGGTAAATATGTACATGTGCATATCCTTATGTTTGTAATGTACCTTGCTCAAACAAATAAAATGAATGATTACTTTATTACAACCTGCATGATGATGGCACAATTCTTTGTCAATTAAAATGTAGACTGCTAATTAACTTGAGCTCTAGTCCCTTTCATATACAGTCTATCCCTTTACTTATCTATTTAAGGATAATTCATAAGAATAATAATTGAATAATATAACTAAGCTATTTAGTCTAAAAAACTCTACTGAATTCTTATCTAGCCAACTTTTATGTTTATAATTATGGTGATAGGCCTGGTTAAAGTGATAATTAACTAATCATTTAAGCTATAGAACTTATAAATGGAGCTGAAGTAATGTAGTGTTGCTTATTATAGCCACATATAGTACTCAAGCAAGAATAATGTTACTTCAAAGTAGTGGTCCAAGAAATTACTCAAGTCAGAGTCAAAAAGTATTTGGGAAAACTATTACTCAAGTAAGAGCACATCCGCTAAAAACATATATTTTATTTTTAATATTTTGGTGTTTTAAATGCAAATAAATGATCGGAGAGTAATTATTTTTGGACATATCTGTATTTTCTCACCCTGAATACATATTTTCACAGCCCACATCGATGGTTTCCTCCGAGTCACTGTCACCGGAGCTGCTGTCTTCAGAAGGGCGCTTCATGGTGCGCGGACGGCGGGGACGCTCCTGGCCTCTCCCCGGGGATCGGCTGGAGGTGTGGTGGTGGAGATAAAAATAAACAAAACTAAAGAAAACAAAAAAAACTACATAGTCTCTTACATAGCTAATAAAATTGTCATATATTCCGAATACATTTAACCAATCTTCAAAAAATAAAGATTAGATTTTGGCTAAGTTATGCTAAAATTATGCAAAAAAAGTGCGCCAAAAAACAAAACAAAACTAATCTAAAACTCAAAAGGGATTGCCAAATCGGAAAAAATCCATGCAAAAACATAAAATCAAAACTTTTATTTCATCCCACGCTTGTAAAGTCTCTGGAAAAGTGTCCGGACAAAGCTGCGTCTGGCGCGCTGATCCCCGGTGAGCACCCGGGCACAGCTCCCCTCTCTCCCCGCCTCTCAGAGCTTGTCCTCGGCTGCAGACAGTTTTCCCACGGAGCCTGGGAGCCGGTCGTGCGCACACTCACACGCACTCCCAATGAACCAGACCAGACAGGCGGATTTATCTGAAGAGGGACCAGCCCAGGCTACCTCCGTCTGCACTGATCTCTCATGTCTGCACCGTATTTGTGAGCACTTGGGCGGTTCCAGTGGGTTTATTCGTGTACATCTACAAGTGAATTCTTTTTTTATCTATATTCTCAAGGCCCCTAGACTTTTAATGCTTAATCAGTGGTCTACTTAGCCAGGGTGACCAGAATTTCCCGTGTTTTTTGTGTTTGGTAATAATAAAATTGTGAAACGAGTGCGTAATTAAGGAAAAATGTTCTGCAAAGTCCATTCATGACGAACATGTGAGTCAGTATACTCACATTTTCTTGTGTTTTGGTCATTTTTAAGCAGCTTTTCTGTATTTTACTGAAACAAATGACTGTTTATACCTCTCTTTCCTGTTGGCAGGGATCAAATTGCTCAAAAATAGGGACACCAGGGATATTTCTTGTATAAAACTGGGACAAATCACGTGTTTTGGATAAATCTGCTGCAACAGCGGAAATGGGGAGGTCTGGTCAGGTGTAAACATTAAAAAGAGTCAGGTGTAAAACATTAAAAAAGAGATATTTTATTGATCCAAAGGGAAATTCAGGTTTTGCTGCATCATTTCCACTGTGCGTCTCAGTAGTCTTTGTCTCTCAGAAGTTTGGATGTTTTTATTGCTCTGAAAAACATGCGTCCTTACTGTGAGCAGGCTCGCATCTCCACAGACTTGACTCGTTCCTGGCCTGGAGTTACAAGGTGTTGCTTTAAGAATCTGGAGTTGAAAAAAGTGCCCATCTCCCACAAATTGGCAATTCTAATTTTTGTGTTAAACTTGTGAATGACAAAAAAAGAGCATTATAACATAGATCAGAAAATAAAGTTTTTAAAATAGAAAGGGTAAGGTAGGATGTACTATGCAACCATTCTGGTGGTGTCCTCTACCTGCTGCTTGTATGCATGTTTATCTTGTATATATTTGACTCCAATGGGACTTAAAGGTAAAAGAAAAAGAAAAAAAATCCATGTTAAATGCCATAGTGAGTTACTTTTATGAAACAAAAACACAAGAGAGCTACCAATTTCAGCAGTCGCAAAGAAACACAGTAAATATAAGAGCCACGGCGAGCCTTAGACATGCTTAGAAAACATAAACCATTGTCCATATACCGGTGCACCAAGTTGGGCATCAAAATTATACATGTACAATGGTAATTAATCAAATTATACTTATTATCTGCAATCAGAAATCCATTGGCAAGCTACTTGGAATGGGGTGGAGAGCTCCTGGTAGTTCTCGAGTTACAGGTTGGAGACCCCTGATGAAGACAAAGCAAAAACATCTCTCTGGAAAGAAACAGATGGCAGACAACCCATCAGAAAAGTTACATAGTGAACCTTTAAATGTAATGGCAACTGGTAACCAATAGCAAATATAATCATAGAGCAGGGGTGGGCGAATTAAGGCCCGCGAGCCATATGTGGCCCTTCAATCCTTTTAATCCGGCCCGCTGAACTTGAATAATAATTTTCAGTGTTTTAAAAGTCATTTCAATAAATAGTAAATAATGTGGGACATGAAAGACAGATATTAGGTTGTAATGATTTATAATGATTTTCAATTATAGGACATTTCAATAACATGGGATATTTTTTTCTCTGAAGAGGTGGATTACCAAAACACTCCACCCACCTGCTCCTGGTCCATAGCCTGATTCTGACCTCGCAGCATTAGATTTCGTTTGCTCGACTTTTTTTCATTTAACCAATCGCTGCTATTTAGTCGTGACGTATGTGATGCACCGCTAACGGGGCTAACTGGTATATTAAGCTTTTCCCAAATCCCTTAGGAAGAAGGACAATAACGTCTTTCCCCTTGTTAAAATTCACCGAACATTCTCTTTGTTCCGGCTTTAAATCCTCGATCTCTGGAATCGTTGCCAACACAGAATGTATGGCTGTTTACTGATTGGCTGGTGCCCGGACTCGCACTTCTGGGGGTTTTGCGAACTGTCTAGTCTATTCCAATTCCTGACCTACTTGCTGGGAGAAATGAAATTGAGCGGAGGCAACAGTTGGCACTTCTAGAACCCTTTGTGGCCCACGAGTCAAAAAGTTTGCCCACCCCTGTCATAGAGGTTCCATTTTACACCTATAATGCTATTACCTCATCAAAAACATAGCCTATCTTGAGTTGTGTTTTGTTACATTCATATACGTGTTTGAGTCTCCAAAAAACTCAAAATGCTCTGTTCCACCTTGTGATGTCATGAAGTGGTAGTTTGCAATTTAACAGCTATTTTTCCAAAATGCTGGACAAATACATAATAATATCAACAATAATAGCATGACAAAATAAACTACTAAAATAATCATACTAGTCTTAAAATAATAAAACCAGTCATAATCAAATCATAGAATAGCAATAAATAAATAAAACCAATAAAATACATTAAAAATAAATAAAATAGTGTAAAGACATTGGAAATTCCAGAGCTGAAATGGTCCAAATGATTCTTGTGATGCTGTATGGAGTTTAAAAACACAATGGAGCACTTCCTGTAAAGTGTTTTCTGTTGAGAGAAGGGCTAAATATGCAGGGTTTGTGAGTTTAACATGTGTGGATAAAGCAAAACACAACTCCAGGTATATTTTCTGACATGGAAACAACATTAAAACAGATAAAAAGATTAGATAAAACCAAAGTGTACATATTTAGGTGCAACTAAAAGCAAATTTACAAATATTTACATTACAGACCTATAGGTAGGATTGGAATTTCAAAGTTTTAACAATCTTTTCTGACTCAGATAGTCAAATCACGCAGACCCCGCAAGTTCTCGGAGTACGTGTGAGCCGTTCCCACAGTCTGAAACCCAATCGTCGTGTGAGACAGTCCAGAGCCTCTCACACAGGAGCAGACGTCTTTTCTCACCTGCTAATCTCAGGAGCACAGTGAGCGAGGTGAATGTGCCAATCAGGACATACTTATACACACACTCTTATGGCTTCTACAGCTGATAACTCCAAATGGACTTGTCAGCGCCCCGTCATCTCAAGAAATGTGCATACTTTAGCTTTTCTATATATGCTTGTGATTACGAGCGGTAGATTATTTACATTTTTATACCGCGCTTTTCCACCTTCAAAGCACTCAAAGTTCTTTACATCAAGAAACGACTCACTAGGGCTGCTTGATTATGGAAAAAAAAAAATTATCATGATTATTTTGGTCAATATTCAAATCACGATTATTCAAATGCTTATTTTTTAATTACAGAATGCATTTATTCAGCATTTCTCTCTCTTAAAAAAACCTTTTTTATTGATAATTTACGCAAAACTGTCAAATTGAAAATGAATTCAGGCTACAATTATGAACCTTAGAGCAGTTTTGCGATGCATAAAACATAAAATGAATAAAATAAACTTTGAACATGAAATAAAGCATAAAAAACATAAATGTATCCAAAATAAACTATATATCCAGCTGAAATACAATCTCTATATTTCATATAATCAAATCCCAAAATAAACTTTGTTAAGCTTTTGTTTCAACTCGATTATATGACTTTGGAGATCATTTGACACACAAATTGAAATCACGATCAAAATTTGATGAATTGCACAGCCTTACCACGCACCCATTCACACACACATTCATACACCAGTGTACAAAGACTCTGGGGACAACATGGGTATGCCGCAAATCTAACACGCACATGTCGATGTTTTTAAAATCTTTAACTGGTCAAAACTACAATAAAACCAATACACTTTTAAATTGTGACTTGTTACTCCACTTCTGCCTCGGGAGCTCAAATCGACGGAATTTAAACTTGAACAGCGCTTGGGGGTTATGTGCATGTGCAGTAGAGCAAGGGAGCTCAAATTGACAGGACTCTGGGTCTCAGGAGGTTCAGGGTGACCAGTCCTTAACAAAATAGTCCAAGGTTCCATCCAATACATGATACAATCTTTCGTAAGGCAAATTTGATAATAGTTTTTCACTTGCCCAAGGACACAACAACTGTATTCATTTGTAGGAGTTGGATTCGTGCCACCGAGTGTGGAGTGAATGAAATAATGCTCTGTAAAGTGTCTTTGTGACATATGCCTGTGAAAAGCGCTATATAAATAAAATTTACTTATTTATTTATTTACTTAACCAACCTGTGGGTCGGTGGCTCTGCCAAGATAACAAGGACTGAGCTGTGAGCAGAGGTGGGACCAAGTCGTTGTTTTGCAAGTCTCAACTAAGTCTCAAGTCTTTGACCTCAAGTCTGAGTCAAGTCCCAAGTCAAATACAGGCAAGTCCAAGTCGAGTCCCGAGTCACTGGCCCATAAGTCCAAGTCAAGTCCAAGTTGTCTGCTCTGAGCTTCAAGGCATTTCAAGTCTTTAAACCAAACTACCAAATATAGCTTAGATTTTTACAATTTATACGAATTTTAAACTAATTTGTTCTTAAAAAAATCACAGTATTTTTATATATGAGTATTTATAGAGTATATAAAAGTTGTAGAAATGTAAATTTTTCCATTTTAAATGTCTTGACAAGCTCAAAGAGTGAATCATTACAGTCAGAATAGAAAGAATTCAGATTTAAAATTGCTTCTCAAGTCACAGGCCTCAAGTCTGAGTCAAGTCCCAAGTCACTGACCTTCAAGTCCAAGTCGAGTCCCAAGTCTTAGTCCATTTTATCAAGTCAAGCCTCAAGTCCTAAAAACTGTGACTCAAGCCTGACTCAAGTCTGAGTCACGACTTGCAAGTCCCCACCTCTGGCTGTGTGCCCTCAGCTAACCATCAGATATGATTAATACGGTTTTGGAAATACCATTGTTCAGAGATTCATTAATTCAAGCAGAATCAGATGTTATGTACAACACTCAGTACAAAAATACTTTCTAAGAACTTACTTTGTTTTTCTTTCCTTTACTCTTTACTTGTTTAATAATTTGATTACTTTTAGCTCTATTTCAGTCACTTTTTATTTTAGTAGGCTACTATTATTTGACATTTTTAGACTATTTTACCCACTTAAATTTCATTTTTCATTTCATTGCACTGCAAATTTCTCTAATCTGGCCATGATTTTAAAAGTTATATCAGGTTATTCATCTGGTTTTCAGATTTATTATCTACTAACTAGTTCTGCGACTGATTAATTCTAGTCTAGAGGTTGTTTATTTTAAGATAACTTGTCAAATGAAGTGATCTTGCTGCATGGACAGATAATTTCACTGCTTTTAAGTCATTTTCTGACAGATTTAAGTGTTTATATCTTCATTTTCTTTGCAGTGTGAGTGTGAATTGTTTTATTTGCTTTGATGGTAAAACTCTATTGTTTATAAATTAGAGATTACATTTGACTATATCATTTTTATTCAGTACACCTGCAGCTCTCTCACGTCTGTTTTACACAGTCCCTGGTCTCTCCGACTCACTTTTGGATGTGTATATTGTGTTTTTATTGATGGCTTGGGTCATAGAGGACAAGCAGGGCCATCCTATATCAGGAAGCATTGGCAGAGGGCTACCAGGAGGATAATATCTGGGGGGGCTCAGGGTCGTGAGTCGGAAATCCTCTCTAACGCTGCGTGTTTGAGTGTGTATTTGTTGGGACGGAGGGTACAGGAGGAGGGGGTGAGTGCGGAGAGAATGGGAGGAAACGGAGCATTATTCTGACAAAGGACGACTGGCAGCACCACCTTTACAGAGACCCCACAGCCTGCAAACTGTTAAAGCTGCACTGTGGAGCTTTTCTGGTGTAAGTTACGCCATTTGATGTTATTCCTTTGCCTGGGATGTTTCACAGTATGGCATTAAATGCATTTATTTAAAGATCCTATATTACACATGTTTAGTAATCCTTTCAATGTCAATACGGAGATATTGGCAATGGTGAAAACAACCTGCATGGGCTCTGAGACATGAGGGACCAGGACTGAACCAGGACTAAACCAGGACTGAATCAGAACTGAACCAAGTCTAAAGCAGGTCAAAGCAAGATTGAGTGTCAGGACGGGCAACCGCAGGCGAAAGGACTGGTGCAGAGCTCCACGCCCCATGGGGGTAACCGCAGCCGTCGCACTTTGGGGACACTCTGACTCCACAGGCTCGGGGTTCTCTCTGTAGCTCTCAAGTCCAAAATTAGTCCTGGTTTAGACCTGTTTTAGTCCTGTTTTAGTCCCAGTTCAGTCTTGGTTTAGTTCTGTAGTCCGGGTTTAGCCTTGTTTTAGTCCTGGTTCAGTCCTGGTTAAGTTCTGGTTTAGTCCTGGTTTAGTCCTGTTTTTGTCCTGGTTCAGTTCTGTTTTAGTCCTGGTTTAGTCTTGGTTTAGTCCTGTTTTAATCCTGTTTTAGTCCTGGTTCAGTCCTGGTTCATGTGTTGTAGTCTATGATTTATGTTCTGTAAGTGATTATAAAAGGCGTTAATGTTAATAACACGATTCTGCATTATTTCGAGTAAAAAACATAAAATATTACTTATTTTTACTGGGCTGGGCCTTTATGTTTGTACTGAAAGTGAGTTTGGGGGGACGATGATGCCACGAATCACATACCCCGACTTTAAAAATCCCCACTACACCACTGACTCTGAGTATGTTTTTAATGAGGAAACATTATAACATAGATCAGATATAGTGCAATATAGGCCCTTTAAAGATGCATTGTGTAACTTTTCCGGTGGATGTAAGCTACCTGCTTGTCGTTATAGACATGTTATTGCTTTGCCTTGGATGTTTCACTGTATGGCATTAGACTTAGACTTAAACTTTATTGACTGACAAAAGAAATGATTTGAACAGCAGCTTAGTATGTATGTATGTATATGACATACTGCACCTTCTGCATCAATATATTATAATAACAAAGAGTAAAACAAATAAATGGTAATAATAAATTCTAAATAAATAGCAAAAAAGATACAGGTGTCAAATTAGGTATAATTATATAAATATGTCAAAATAAAATAAAACAATAAGTAATACAAAAACTCAGCTATAAACAATAGGTCATTAAATGTGGCTCAAAATTACTTACAAAACATGCATTCTGATTGTGAGCGAGTCGCCTCTCCATAGATCTTACCTGTAGCTTGGTCTGATGGTACCATCGTCCATCGTTTCTATGGAGATACATGAGTTTATTGGTTTGTTTCTAAAATGGTCAAATTGTTTAAAGGGCCCATGATACACAATTTAAACACACAAATCCTGCATATTTAGGCTGAGTTCTTCTCTCAAACAGAAAACAATCGGTTCCAGCTTGCGATGTTGTGTGGTAATACAGGAAGTGCTCCACTGTGTTTTTAAACTCTGTACACCTTCACAAGAATCATTTGAATAATTTTAGCCCTGGAATTGCCAATCTTTACTAAATCACATGGCTCAAAGTGATCATTTTGAGCTTTGGAGATGCAGACAGACTAATAATAAAGAGTTACTCAAACATATGTGAATGAAACAAAATGCAACTCCAGGTGTGTTTTTGATGAGGTAACAATTTATAACATGTCTAAAAGCTCACAAGAGTCGCTTTAGCTTAATATATAATAGCGCCGCTCCACTCTCTCCGTAGACTTCTCCAATTTTATTTCCTCTTCTCAACACACTGGACTCCCTGAGGACTTCAAGAGAAATGTGCGACGTTTATCAGGTTTTAATGCACTAGCACAGACTGTATGAATGTGTGTTGTTCGGGGGTATAATGGTCTATTGTTGTGACTGAGGAAACCCACAACACGTCTTTTAGGAGTGTTGAACCTGCAACCTGCAGCTGCTGCTACTCTGCTTCCTTCCTGCTCCCTCCATCGGAAACAGAGGCTGGATTTGGATCAAGCAATGTTTACATGTAGGTTTGAAATACGGCCAGGGAAGACAATATAATTCAACAATGCAAGACAAAGAAATAAACCAAGCGATGTAAATGGGACTATAATATATACCTTAAACGTGCAGTATGTCATTTTACTGGTGCTGCTTGTCTCCATGGAGATGTTATTGATGTAACTGTAATAAACATTTATTTTATTTATTCAATTGCATGTGTTTTCATGGCTAAACATTGCATTATCACTGTGAGTGGGTCACCTTTTCACAGGTCTGATCTGTAACTTGTAGGGATGTAACAATATCCGAAATATCGTGATATCGTATCGTCAAAATTCTCACAGTAATATCGTAGACCATCATAATATATCGAATTAAAAGCCTCTTTGCTTAAATTAAGAGTTATGGTGCCGTAGCTAAATAAAAGCCAAAGGGAACTACATAGACCATGATCCTTTGCTCCATTTCAGTGAAGACTACAAGAAGAAATAACAGTTCTAAGCACTTTTAAGTCTTAGGTCTTTGGATTAAGTCCTGTCAAGGCATTTTAAGAAAGAAAAAGTAGCATATTAACAGTTTTGTTCGCCTCCACAAAATATCACAATAAATATCGTACCATGACATGTATATCGTGAAAATATTGTACCAAGAGATTTGGATATTGTGACATCTCTAATCGTGAGCCTCCCCACCATATCGTCAGCTTTCCCACAGTATCGCAATAAATATCGTACCGTGAGGTTCATACTGTGACGACATCGTATCGTGAGACTTGGGTATCGTTACATCCCTAGTAACTTGGCCTGGTTGCGCCAGCTGTCTGTCTCCTTGCAGAGAGATAAGTTTAATTCCAGTCTTTTATACAAAACTTGATTATTTTACCTATTAAACTGTTATGTGATCAGCATGTGATTTATTCAAAATTACAAAAAAACATTAGACGTCCCATTTATTTATGTTATAATTTGGTGTTATAGGTTCTCACATGAGTCTTGCATTCGAGTTGTCAGTTTCAACACTGAAATCCAGGCTGATGCCACCTAGTGCCTCCACTCAATTTCATTTCTCTCCAGCGACTAGATCAGGAATCGGAATACACTCGACGGTTTGCAAGAACCCTGGAAGTTGTAGACCGCGCACTGGCCAATCAGCGAAGAGCTGTGAAGCCATGACGTCAAACTCAAGCACTTGTCTGCGTCCCTTTTGTGGTACAGCACAACAGTAAACAAAGCAGTCGAGATGGATGTAGATGAAGACAGACATTCTGTGTTGGCAGCGATTCCCAAGATCAAAAGTTTAATGAATTTTATCAAGGGGAAAGACGTTATTGCCCTTCTTCCTACGGGATTTGGCACATTACATACATCACGACCAAAGAGCAGCGACTGGTTAAATAAAAAAAGTACCCGCCTAGCATCGAGTGAACGAATTCTAATGCTGTCAGACGGTTTCCATGAAGTGAAACCAGTCTGATGAATCAGGCTAGAAATCCAGTTGGTTTAAACTTAAAATTCCTCTCTCTGAGCTGATTGGTCACTGTCTAAACTCCAGCCCCTGCAGCCAATCATGATTCAGTGCTAGTGCAGCCTCTGCAGCTCAGGGAGGGAATTCTGGAGAGTCTGAGCTTTTACATGAGGACTGTCTATATGTGAATAAGAAAAAATTTGATGTGTCCTTTATCTGCAGATTAAGGCTCTGGCAACACAGGTTCAGTTGTGACTGTGATTGTAGTACCTTTCAGAAAGTTACACACAGTTCCTTTAACCACAATTCACTTATTCTCTGAGCTCTTGCCAATGAGAGTAAACAGTGCAGTGCTGTTCTCTGTATTAGTAGCACAGAAATAAGAACAGCATTTTTTCAAATCAAAGTACACATTTTTAACACATAATGCATCTTTGTTTTTCAGGCTTTTGTTGTTTTCTGGAGTATCCTGTGAGTCAGAGGAGCTGCAGCTGAAGTGTGCCAGTCGTATGTGAGTCTATCTGCAGTCACACGTCAGCGCTCTCTTCACTGTGTGTGGACAACCTCTGCACATGAAGCCATTCCTGTCATGAAGAACCACACCTACATCCAACCGCACTATGGCCTCCTCACACTGGAGCTGATGGTCAGAGTGGAAAATAAGTAAGTAGAAACACTCAAGTTACTGTAATTGAGTAGATTTTTGGGTATTTTGGGTGTATTCTCTCTCTAGAGTATAATTCTAGCCATGTAAGCAGCATTTTAAAAACACAGGAGTTACAAAATACTGTGCAAGTTCAAATTGTTGCATTCCACAGTTGTCTCCTCACTGTCTGCTCCGACAAATAGGATTAATCTCTTTTTTTGACTCCCAAAATTGTTACAGCATTACCAACCAGAGGTGGGACCAAGTCGTTGTTTTGCAAATCTCAACTAAGTCTCAAGTCTTTGACTTCAAGTCTGAGTCAAGTCCCAAGTCAAATACAGGCAAGTCCAAGTCAAGTCTGGAGTCACTGGCCCAGAAGTCCAAGTCAAATCCAAGTTGTCTGCTTTGAGCTTCAAGTCATTTGACTCGCGGTCATTTTTTGATGGGGTTGGAGACTTAAGAGTGTGCCCTGTTGTGCGGAAAATACGGTAGTGACTCAAGTCTGACTCGCGTCCAAGTCACGAGTTGCAAGTCCCAACCTCTGCTACCAACAAACACACAACAGCACTGCATCGTAAGCCCTTGGCCAGATGTGAAAGAAAATGGCCAGAGCTGAAAGAAAAGCCAAACTGAACAACACAGTCCAGCTTTGTACAGTTTCATTAATCAACTTTGATACAAAACACTGATCTAAACTGATCTTCTGAACTTCGACCACAGCAACGAGACAGGTCTCAGATATTGTATCAGCTCAAAAAATCCATATCAGACTATCATGGTCGTGACTGTTGCAGGGAAAAGCTCTTACTCTTGTTTTGACCTGCGCTGCTCAGTGTTCATCTCACCACAGGACGCGCTGCTATCTCACACTGTACATAACTTTACACATAGCTCCAATACCTCGATGTCTGATGCACATTAGTTACAGTAAAGAGATGTAAGGGCCCTCTTCAGATAAATGAAGTGGTGTACTGAGGTCACTAGAAGTAGAAGCACGTAATATTACACAAATGGAAAAGGTAAAACTGGCTCAATCTAATCTTGCTTTAGATCTATTCCTTTAGTTCTATTAAAAATTCCAACTTGTTTATGTGGTCTTTTTGCAAATATCTATAACATAATAATCATTAGTCAGTTATTGGCACTGGCAATGGTCCAAGTAGTAAACACTAGTAGGTGTGTTATTATGTATTTCAGTTTCAGTATATTTTGGGGCACAGAGAAAATTCTAAATAAACGTTCTCTTTTGGTCATGAATGCTTGAGTAACATTCTCTTGCTGATCTGCAGACCCCCCCGTCCCCTCCCTGTAGGACTTGTGTGTACAGTATGTGATTCTGGTGGGTGTGGGAAAGGCCTGGTTCCCCCTCACGCACACACTCACTCACTCACACACACTCTCACACTCACAGTCAGCTGATGCCTCCTCCAGCTCTCCCATCTCCTGCTCTGAGTCTAAACTGGACACTGGAAATCCCCCTCCTCTCCATCACAAGTCTTTTCTTCATGTAACGCAGACTGTAAAGAGCTCACTGACTGACACAATACACACTTTCATGTTCATGATATGGATCTGTGCTTTTCATCTTGAGGCATATGTACAGGGTAGGCGCAATATTTCATTATAGGTGGCATGGCGGCTGAGTGGCTAGCACTCTCACCCCACAGCAAGAAGGTTCTGGGTTTGACTCACAAGCCTCCAGGGCCTTTCTGAGCAGAGTTTGCATGTTTCCTCTGCACACTCTGGTTTCCTAGCCTGATTCATCAGCCAGTTTCATTTTGTGGAATCCGTCTAACCTCGCAGCATTAGGATTCGTTCGCTCAACAATAGGCGGGTACTTTTTTATTTAACCAATCGCTACTATTTGGTTATGATGTATGTAATGTGCCGGAACACTCAGTGATGTCCAAGTAACTGCCGGAACAATAGCAAAGAAAGCAGAGAGTGAACATGTCGACCGATCATTGTTGTTTCTGAGAGGTGAACTTGTGAATTAAAGGTGCAATAAAGAATGCAAAGTTTGTATTTGACAAAGGAAGTCCAAAGGAGGATAGCGTATGCAGTCTGCTATCTCAACTCGAATTGGTTCTAGCCAACACATTGCTTGAGTTTGACGTCATGGCTTCACAGCTCTTCTCTGATTGGCCAGTGCGCGGTCTACAACTTCCAGGGTTCTTCTAAACCGTCCAGTGTCCGATTCCTGACCCAGTCGCTGGAGAGAAATGAAATTGAGTGGAGGCACTAGGTGGCGCCAGCCTGGCCCAGCAACAGCCCAAAACAAGCATACAATAAACATAGTCTGGACTAACTCAAGATCTGGAGATGGTTCTGTGGGGGCTGAACTAGTATTAAAATGGGTCACATAAAGAGAGCAAATCTTTATTGAAAACTTTTATTTGACTTGGAGGAGGGCCTCCTTCTGCTTGTTTCCAAGGAAATGTTCTGGTATAATCTTCCACAGTATGGCATAAAACATACTCCCTCTCCATCGAGAATATTCTCAAGTATAGTTTTCACTTTCTATTTTGACACCCACACAAAGCTGCATTCTGTATCTTTAACCTTACCTTATCTTTAATAATTAATGCATTATTCATATTCAAAAAACAAAAAGCAAAAAAAAAACACTTTCATTTGACTTTTCATTTTCTATAGCAGTGAAAGCTCTGTCAGTTTAATCCTTATGTATACTGAGCCCTGGCGATAGCGTGAGTTTCATGTCAGTCCCGCTTCTGTGGAGACCTTTCCCATAAACTCGCCTTACTTCTGGAACAATCCCCAGTGTAATGAGCCTGGGGACAACTTAAGTGGATTAACACTTGGGCTGTGAAGACATGGCCCCACAGCTCAAACAGAAGCACACACTTGTATGTTTGTGACAGAGGGCCTTGTATTCTGCGTTCATGGTGAGAGGCGTGCATTGTTTTGGTGGGACCGGTCATCTGAGATCACAGCTGATAGGGATGGTGCATTCACTGACCTTTAGGACCTGCCAGCGCTTGTGGAGACAGTGAAGGTGACACGCAACACAAGCTCTGATCAATGATAAATGCTCAGAAAGATGAGGCTGTGTACTTTCCCACAACTACTTGCAGCTGACAAGGATTGTATTGTCATATTTTTAAGGGAAGGAATTGTTTAAAATCCCAATAATGTACTACTTATTTATAGTCCTTTAGTTTTATAATCTTTTAATGAAAATGCATATGACAGGTAAGCACTCCAAAGGTGAAAAAAACAAACAAAAAAGTGTCAACCGTTTGATTATGTAAAACAATTGGGGTAGGACATTGTAAGTGCATAAACTTCATCCTACTCCTTTTGAGCTCCAGGTCTCTTGTTTTGGTTTTTTGTTAGTGTTGTTGATTTTTTTTTTACCTTGTTCAAACAAATAAATAAAATGAAAAATGAATGAAACCTGAATAACATAAGTCCCCATGTAGGGGCTTCACTCCCATGACTGTTTAAGTCTGTTTTAGTTGAATTACTTGCATTCTGGTGTCCCTTCCTCCTCTCTAGCCCACTGGCCTCTCTCCCCTGTGTTTCCCAGGCGTCCCTCTGACCTGCTCCATGCCTCTGGTGCCCTCTCTCTGCCTTCTCTCTGCCCAGTCCAGGGGCTCGGGTCCAGGCCACACAGACTCGTATTGTAGCCTACGCCTGTCACACACCACACTGAACATAAACCGTACGTTTTTACAAATCCACGACTTGTAAGCAGCATTTATTATGATGCACAGTGGTGCAAAGTGTGTGTGTTCTTGACAGACAGAACCCACTCTGTTGCACCTTGTGATGATGTGGCAATACAGGAAGTGCTCCACTGTGTTTTTAAACTCCACACACCTTCACTAGAATCATTTGGATAATTTCAGACCTGGAATTGACAATCTTTATGGAACTAAAAGCATAAATGGTAGCTGTTAACTTGAAAACTACCATGACCATAAACTATCATGACCTCACGACATGACATCAACAGAGCATTTGAGCTTTGGAGATGTAGGCAGACTAATAAAGACATGTGTGAATGAAACAAAACACAACTCCAGGTATGATTTTGAGGATGTAACAGCATTATAACCTGTCTTAAAGCTCACAAGAGTCAATTTTGTCTAATAAAGAAACTTTAAATTGCTAATTGTTATGGCTACAGCCCTATTTTTCATAATTCTGAAATCCCTGTACACAACATTGTTTCATAAACTCCAGGTGTGTAGATGTACACCTGGACTTGGTGAAATGTTTCTATGATTTAAATAAGAGGAAAACAGCATTAGTTTATCCAGAAACAATGAGCCCAAATACCAGGGAAGGAGGGAAGTGAGAGAAAAGGAGGAAAAACCAGCACTCGGGTCATGACTGCAGTGATTTATGGGTAATTCATCAGAGGCAGCGTGCTGTGAGGAGATTTCACATGTTTCTTAAACACATTGTTTCAAGACTACTCAAAATGGTTCCACTGGAACCAATGTGATGGAATGAGGCATGTCAAAACAGCAAATGTTCAACTGTGTGCATGTGTTTTGAACATTATAAAAATGCCTTGAGCTCTACAATAAAACTAGTAATTGTCTCCTGAGATCTTTACGTTTAAACTAAAGTTATGAATGGAATGAGGATATGTATTTTTGCCTAAAATATTCATCGCACTTACAAATGATAGGAACAAGAATATATGAAGAACTGAATTTTGATAGAAACCTTATCCATGGGGTTCAGATTGTTGCCACAACAATTCAGAACAAAAAATATTATATCTTTGTATTATATTATATCATTATAACCTATGAATAATTCTAAGGGGACTTTATCCTCCATAGACTGTCTATAGATAAACAGATGAGTTGTATTAAAACAATAGATATTTTTTACTCATTTGTGTGTTTATTGAATATTTCTTACAATTAATCTTGAAATAATTAATTGCAGTTCATTTGAAAAGAGTCTCAAATTGCTAGATCCAAAGTTAAATATTTCAAGTTATATTCAATCTATATGCTTGAGAGATGAACCACTATTAATAGACTGATTTTTAATATAATTTATTCAAAATACACTGAATTTAACATAAATATGATAACTAAATTGTAAATGCCTCTAATAATCCATAAAACTAACACAATAATTTACTGGAAAATTGGGATCCTATAACTGCTCTTTATTTTTACAACAGATAGCGCCCTCTTTTGGGGTCAATATGCCATGACAGCCACTAAGCAGAGTTATTTTGTAATAGTAATAGCCATAACATTAATTATAGTAAACGCTAGTTCACTATCGATCAATCCAAGCACATTTATAACATGGTACATTTTTACTGCAAATCTCATCACAGTGCATAAAAGAATAATAGTAAGCAATTTTGTGTGTGCATACAGCTTGTGTGCAGTAACAGTACATAAATCTGTCATCTTTACGCTGATAAATTTACGTTGATTCTGATTTTATAAACTTTTGGCTCATCGTTCATCCCTGTTTCCATGGCTACTGTTTGTTGACCCTCCCTCTCTCTGCGGCCTGGCTTGTGTCTGCTTTGATAGTGAGGTCATCCACTCTTTTACAGCTCCACTGTTTATCTGAGCAATGTTTAATGTCCGCCTGCGCACCGTCTCCAACACGTTCCCGGCATTCCTATGTTTAATGAGCTCACCCATTCCCAAACCGTACGGCTGAATGTGCTTATAGTGCAGTTTAATGTAGCTGGACATGGGGATTGGTGAAGTTTGGCAAATTCAGAGCTTGTAGATTTGCAGCTACACAGAATGGTTATGGTGGTAGTAGATAAAAACACCCAGAAGGGGGAGCCAGTACACTACTTAGTTGCAGCCACATTCTAACTCAAACATGTCAAACTCAGGCCCGAGGTCCAAATTTGGTCAGCAATATAATTATATTTGAACCATGAGATCATATCAAATATGTATTAGAGCTGCCCACTGGCTACAGATAGACTATAGAGACATTATTTATTTAAAATGTTGTTATTATTTTATATTATGCTTGTTTTGGATTCAATGTTTAAGCAAAACTATTATTATTAAACATTTATTTTAATAAGAAACATATCTCAGAAGAAGAAAAAACATGCAGATGTTGTTGAAATTTTTCAATAAATATTTAGTTTGGCCCACGGGTTAGTCCCAGTTTTTATTTGGGCCCCCTGTGAATTTGAGTTTGACACCCCTGTATCTAACTAGACAAAAGTATCAATATATCAACCTATTTAGATTTTCCAAAGTTCAGATTTAAGTATGATCGTAATATAACAATATAGATTCTGAAAATATGCCTTGAACTTGAACATAGAGCATATACAGTACAAATGAAAATAAAAAACGTAAAAAGTGTATTTTTGTAGATAATTTTACAGTTGAACATTTGGCTTAATGATACCAAAAGGTGCACCGTGTAACTTTTCTGATGGAGGGTCCGCCTTTTACTTTACTGTTTACTGTTGTCCAAAATGTATTCTAAACTTTTGATTCATCAAAGTGTCCACCTTTGGCAGATATAACAGCTGAACACACTCGTGGCTCGTTCTTTTTACAATAGAAATCAAATATTCTTCAGAAAGTTCTTCCCAAGTCTGTTGCAGAAGTTCCCATAAATGTGTGGCACTTGTAGGTTTCTTGGCTTTTCACTCTTCTGTCCATTTCATCCCAAACCAACTCGATGGGATTTAAGTCTGGACACTGTGCTGGACACTCCCTGTTTTCAAAGTTTACCATCTTGTTCTTTTTTCCTGAGGTAGTTTTGGCAGAACTTGGACTTGTGTTTTTTATCTTTTATCTTTTTTTTTTAAACCTCTGTCTGTTCAGTTCTTACCTTTGTACCATTTCAAGCTTTTCATTGGAATTTGCACGACTTGATTTGCAATAAATAACAAAAAAATTAGGGTGTTCTAAAACTTTTGAGCAATAGTGTTATTGTTTTGTCCGTAGAGATAAATAGGTGTAATGTCATACTGTGGAAGACTGAAGGCAATATCTCTACATTTCTGTTTGATTATCCTATGGTCTGAATATTGCATTGGGAATTTAAAAAAAGAGCTATACATTTCTGACATTATCACCCAGCAATTTTTGCAGAAAACTGTAGATAGATTTTCCCACTTACCACTTTTGTCATGCATTCTTTGGCGTTGTGGCTTTAGACGCTGATCTTCTGCTCTCTAGTTTCACAACAAGCCAATGAAGTGTTGTGTCTTATCTCCTGGAATGTAGACAATAATTTAGTTCAATTTTTAATGTTTTTATCTCCATATAAAACAGTGTTTGGCTCACATGTTTGAAAAACCCTGCATGTTCTTACTGATAGTAAAAAATAATCCACCATTCATCCTCCTCCGAAAGTCCATAGCCATTCACAGGTCATTATTATGTCACAGCAACTGGCTCCATGTTTTGACTAGAAATCTGACTTGTTATAAGGTTGTTTCCTCATCACAAACATGCCTGGAGTTGTGTTTTTTTCATTCACACATGTTTAACACACAAATCCTGTATATATAGGCTGAACGGTAAACACACAGTTCCACATTGTGATGTAATGTGGCAATACAGGAAGTGCTTCACTGTGACTGTAAACTCCTTACACCTTCGTTAGAATAATTTGGATGATTTCAGACCTAGAACTGCTAGTCTCTATTGAAAAAAAGGTATAAGGTAGCTGTTAACTTGATAAATACTGCTTTAAGATGTGTGAAAAATCCCTTAGTCATCCAAGTAGAATCCACGGCAAAGGAGAAACTCAATTTGCCGGCTGGACAAAAGTTTATTTGGTCGAATACGCTTCGCACCTCATCCAAGCTGCTTCTTCAGTTCATGAAAGTGTCCATCTTTGGCAGATATAACAGCTGAAGACACTCTGGCATTCTGTTTTCAATAGAAATCATATATTCTTCCAAAAGTTCTTCCCAAGTCTGTTGGCTTTCACTCTTTCTGTCCAGTTTGGATGAGCACCAAATAAACTTTTGTCCAGTCGACAAACTGAATTTTGCCTTTGCCTACTGCTTTAAGACTTAACAAGGTGGAACGGGGCATTTTGAAGTTTGGACACATAGACAAACTAACAATAAAGGATTACTCAAACATGTGTGAATGAAATAAAACACAACTTTTGCATAATCTAGGACCTTAAAAGTGTTTTTGAGCAATACAAAACATCAGTAAGCAAATCACTAAAAGATAGGTAAGTTTAAAGTGCACCTTTAAGACACTAAAACCAGGAGTGAATAATTTTTTCTATTATTATATACATGAACATTTACATATCTACAAAACTGCAAGGGGAAAATCTAGCTTTAGCTAATTAGTGTTTACTAATCAGTAGGGGCGTGCAAAAATACTGAAATATCGATATATCAAATCATTTAATGTGATAATACAGTATCGATATCATGGGCTGTTGTAGCGATATATTGCCAAGAGTCTTTTTTGGTATGTTTTACTAAATTATTTTGTTACAGCTACAGTTTAGTTGTTTGTTTAGAGGAAGGAAACTCTTTTATGCAACACATTTGACATGTTCACTGTTTTGATGATTAAAATAGGCGTGTTTTACATTCACTTTGCACAAGAAGTGGTTTAACAAAGACTTTTAGTGTCACAAACATGATTTAGCCTTTATTTTTTAAATTGAACTGTATTGAATCGATTTAAAATATATCGTATCGAATTGAAAGTGCACTGTATCGAGGCATGTATCGTATCAGTAACTTCTTAATGATACCCAGCCCTACTAATCAGTTAATCACGTATTTATGTTCTCTGCGGCTGTCTGTCTAACTAGCCAGCACTGGTTCAAATAGCAGAATAGCTGTTGCATGTAGCATTTGGTCTTTCTTGAACTTGTTTCAGTGTTGGCAGTGTCCAGTTTCAGCACTTCTCCACACCAGCAGCTGACACCTGCCTCCACTTCCTGAAACAGACCTACTTCCTCCCAAAGGACCGCCCCGGCCTTTAATGGAGGTCAAAGGTTACGGCTGAAGTCTCCCGAGGTCCCCAAACATCGCAAAGCACACATGTTAATTAGCCACAAGGATACGTTCAATCATTTTACAGGCCACACATGCAAATAGTGTGTTATGGTAAAGTCTGGAAGCTGATATGTGGTGGGCACTTAAGTTGGATCAAAGCGTTATTATTTAGCCAATATAGAGCCAAAACTACTTACTTTTGGAATTTCTTTTACAGCATATTTTGTTAATTATGTCGCTATTCATAAGGATTCATTTTTATTTTAGTATCTGTGTAGTTGTGTCAGTGGTGTGTCACCTCTAGATGGCAACCTTCAGCTAACAACATCATTGACATTGACTTAAAACATGCCCTTTCTCCTCTCAAATGTTACTGACAGTTTGTAGAGGTGTACTTAAGAAAGACTGCTATTTCAAAAATAATATTAGCAAATACCAGTGCACTTGAGTAAATTAACACAACATAGTAAATACAAATTGCAATGTTGAAATATGAAGTAGAGATACCAACACTTTTGCTTACTAAGAAAAATGATCCAGTCGTGTTATGTTACTCAGTGTTTCCCAAACTTTTTTTCTGGGAATTCATATTTTAAAAGTCACAAACCTTCACGAACCAAGTCAATAAACATTATTCATAAATCACAAAATAAAGGTGGATTTGACCATTATTGAACATTACTGAGGATATTTTATTGTTGTCTGAGTGATCAATTAGTATTACTCAAGTTTTAAACAATGAAAAACAGTAATTGAAGCAGAAATAAAAGGATCCATATGTTGCCTATTTGGATATTAAATGTAGCCCATTTCTTTTTCTTTTCAATATTCAATTGAACCAGCAATATTAGAACAAAACAGTCAATAAAGTAATTACAAAAAGATTAGAAATTATACAAATATGTCTTAACATTTCAACATTTCTAATGAGACAGGTGGGCCTGTCTGCGTTTTTGTAGCGTGTTCCAGTCCGGGCTTGCAGGAGGAGAGCGCAACAGCAGATCAATGTCAGAACTTTATATTGCAGACCTACATGCAGATCGTGACAAGGCGACTCAAAAAAATCTCTTGCGACCCAGTCTTTGGGAAACAATGCTCTAACTGCTTTGTATGCGTAAAAGATGTAAATAGTCATATTACAACAATCTATATGCCAAAATTAAAATAATTATAATAATAATATTTTTAAAAATAAAAGGATATTTGATGAACCAAATGTTCTGCCTGCTGATAGCGGTTTTAAATTGGTAATAATTTATCTCTCTTAAAGTTATGATTTGTAGTATTTTGCCAGACTTGTATTCTCGCAAATCACCACTTACTGCTGTCTCATGAAGTGCCAGCTTTGGTCTGACAGAAAGTCCAGAGAGCACAGGTGAGCCTAAATAAAGGTCAGGTGAGGAGAGGGAGAACAGTATTCACATCTGCCATCTACTGGTAGCTTTAAAATAATAATTTCAAACTTGGAGTCTTACAAAGGCAATATTGCTGATCTGTACTTAATATCAAGTACACCAATACATAAACCCTGTTCTAAAACCCCAAAAGTTTTAGAACACCCTAATTTTTCCAGTTATTTATTGCAATTCAAGTCGTGCAAGAGGTTGAAATGTTTCAAATGTAAATACTGAACAGCCACAGGTTTAAAAAAAAAAAAGATAAAAGATACAAAACACAAGTCCAAGCTCTGCCAAAACTATCTCAGGAAAAAACATTGAGCTGGTTTGGGATGACACACATTTATGGAAACTTCTGTAACAGACTTGGGAAGAACTTTCTAAAGAATATTTGATTTCTACTGTAAAAAGAACGAGCCACGAGTGTGTTCAGCTGTTATATGTGCCAAAGGTGGACACTTTCATGAATCAAATTAAAAGTGTGGTGTTCTAAAACTTTTGACCGGTAGTGTAATTAAAAGAAAATGCCCCTTTATTTTTATATTTGTAGACCCCTTTATTTTCAGTCTTCGAATAAGCCCTGAAGTGAACCTCATGCCTATTACAGAGCGCATTAAGTGAGGTAATGTGCTTGGGTTAGCATTGTTTGATCTATGATATTTTTCCATCTGTGGTTTGTAACAGTAGCCTCTGATGAAGCGTTAATGTGAGTACAGTTATCTGCTCTGCGTCAGACTAAATTGTATAACCAACAAGAGCATCGGTGTGGCCATAAACCACCACCGTGACGAACATTTTGCCACCTTATTACTCGATAAGGAAGCAGCTGGGCCCACAGCAGGCTGGTATTCCCATTTCATGTCAAAGCATTTACAAATCATTTAATGTTTACTTATACACTGTTAATCATGCTATTACTTTGTGTACCTGGACGTAGCAGAAAGGGCTTGTCTTTACAGTATGTTATAGATTTTTGTGGTGGTGAGTAATCTTGTTGTTGGGGGAGACACTACAACAAAAATATTGCTTTGAAGAAGATATTCTGAATTCTTTATGAATTAAAGGGACAGTCTGGAGTTTTGGACATAGGGCCTCACTTGGTTGTTTTCAGTCCAAGCACCGCTGGTCTCCAGCAGCTACTTAACATCTGTTCAACTTACAGTATGGAGCTCGATATAAAGTATAACGCAACCAACAGTATGGTCATGATCTGTAGGACCAAAGGAGATAATCTCACATGAGATTTCCTGACTTTTGCCTGTCAAATGTTGTGTTGTCTGTTACAACAAAAATTAAATATCTCGGGCAGGTCATCACTGCGGACATGACAGATGATGATGATATGTATAGACAGTGTAGGACGCTCTATGCTCAAGCAAATATTCTTATGTGTAAATTTGGTTCTTGTACAAATGATATAAAGTTGCTATTGTTTAAATCATACTGTTCACCATTGTACACAGCTCACCTCTGGACTAATTATAAAAAAGACAGTTGGCAAAGACTGCAGGTGGCCTACAATGACGCTTTATGGGTGCTTTTGAGAAGGTCCCCAATGGACGAGTGCTAATGAAATGTTTGTTACTGCATGAGTAAACACTTGGCATACTGCACGTAGAATTTTAATGTGCAGTTTTATCTGCAGACTGAACAAATCAAACAATGAAATGATAATGTCACTCACAAATTTGAGATTCAGTGCAGTAAGATATCAGTCCAATATGTGGAGACACTGGTGTGGTTGTCTTTTAAAAACATAAATGTTTATTGTTTTCTATTGTCACTGTTCTTGTCTGTTTTTAAAATGGACCATGAGTCCAGAATAAAGATGATGATGA